AAGCAATTGATTTTATGTGAAAGCTCTGGAATTTGAAATGAGTTAATCATTGTTTCCATTTTTTTTTGTGTACAAGTGTTACGACAGGGAATGTTTGTAATTACTCATGGGTTACCTTCTTCATGCTATATATCATGTAATTCCTGTATTAAGGATCATGTCTGGTAACCAAATATTCATATTTTAACGTCTGATATGCCTGGTATACATATGGAAATACTTTAACTGCAATTGTTTACTGACCGGCGACTTTGCCGTCTGCCATTTTGTGGGGAATGAAACGTCGATTTTATCTCTCTAAATACCAATTTGTCCCCTGGACAATTGATCTAATATTGTATTTTTAATACCACACATTTAATATTTTATGGTTATACCCTGCCGGACACAAATATATTGTAAATATTTAGATGGTTGTGATGAACTATGTTTTATGTTATTTACTTCTATGTACTTGCGAATATCGTCTGCTAAATTAATGCGCACGCAGTGGTGTCCGATTGCATATTTCAAGTTATTTTATTGATATTATGAGCTCTATTGTTTAGTTTTAATGTTTAATGTTAAAAGACGATCATAGGACAACTCAAGATGATTTCAATTCTATGTTTTTCAATATCGTAATTTTGTATAGTTCCGGCTTCCCGGAAAGGACAAGTAACTATTGGATTAGTATGTCACGTGACACCTACGATTTTTGTATATAAACGCGTGAGCATTCAGTAATGGCAGATAGCCCAAAGTTCTGCTGGCGGCAAGTTCAAAACGTTCACTATCATTAAAAATGTAAACAAAGCAGTCAAATAAGTTTAAGGTGAGCATAAGGATAAATATGGAATATTAGCAGCCGTCTTTTTGTACAGTAAGCTATCTCCCACCACGTCGGAGACCACAAAATTAGATCGTAATTTAGTTCCTATGCACTATGATATATTGTACTGTATGCAAGTATAAGAATTGTCATAATTCGTTATTTATTCAAATATATTTAAACAGTCCCACAAATAAAACTGTTAACATTGAAATGATATTCTATCTTTATCAATCTTGGATACATATAAAAAGGAAAATGCATTTACACTGGTAAAACAACTTGAGCTGGAGGACGCTCGTTCGAAATTAAAAACTATGGAAAGCCGTTAGCAACACAAATAGCACAGTAACAAATAAATACAAAGGAAGTCGTTTAATACACATACATTAACCAAACAGAGGAACTATATTTAAACACAAACTGAGGTGCTTCGGGGAGCAGATACTGCATTTTATGAGTGTTCGTATGTAAACTGCCCAGTATAGGACAGGATACTCTCGGGTGGCTTACAGTATTGAATGTCGTATCAATTGGGAGATATGTACTTAATATGCAGGAGGTACTGTAATGTTGCTACAAAACAAATATGGAAAGTTCATAAATGGGAAGCTGAACTCCAACTCTTTTGTCGTAAAGTTTTATTCTCAACCGACCCTCATGGTCTTATATGTAAGTCAAGATATAAGGCAGACTGCATCTGTTGTATCTTTAATTAAGCTCGATGGAATAAATGCGATCAACATAGTCACTAAACACTGAATGATTTAGTGAGAGGACATTATCTATATAGCGGAACGTGAAATTAAAGGATAAGGTTAGCTACTTTTCATTCGTTTGAAGACGCTCCTGTATGAAGTCTCATATACCTCATATGAATCAAGAAACAAGTCAACAAGAAGAGAGCACAGTTTGTTCCCATTGGAATGCAGATTGTTTGTTGAAACACACGTCCTCCAAACCTAACAAATATCTTGTCAGGTTTAGAGAATATTTTCTTTTTAATCCGAGTGTTTGTTTAACTGGTACGATTTTTTCTTTTAGTTTGAAATGGGAAATACTAGTGTAAAGGTTAGAAAATTCAAATGTCTTGTCACTATTGCAAGAGGAAAGAGACTTAAATTGTATGTACTCTAACAGATCTTTTTTAGTATCCAAATTAAAAGTGTTTTTTTACATAACTTAAAATTGTTATGGAATTATTTAGTGACTTGTGATACTTATAAAAGATCTAATCTGATAATAGTTAAAAATGGGAACACCTGCACGTTGCCCGCCCCACGCAAGCATATTGCTAAATATACAGCAAATACCTTTTCCGGTGCTTTCGCGCTTTGAATATTGTTGCCAGGGTATTGTCTGTTTTTATTGGACTTATGATTTCGAATGCCTCCTTGGTATCTTAATTTTCTCTTTTTATAGAAAATTGGAATGATCAGACTGGTTAGTGTTTATAAAGAAATTTCTTGTTATCAGGATCATTACTGAATATAAGACAGGTGATCTTTTGTTAACTGTTTACCATGTTTAAATTTATATTACCGTACACAATATTAGCAGTAGTTCAGATCCTTATGACTACTTGTATTGTAACATTTAGTGGTTGAGTCAGTATTTTGAAAACAGATTTCAGAAATAAGTATTCCACAAGTTTTACGATTACATTTAGAAATGAAACCAAGTTGCACTTTGTCATTGTAATCAACATCTTCACTAGCCAAGGGTTACGATCCAGTCCCATCCTCTCCGAAGAGGAGAGTTCGGAGAGGGACTGGATTGTAACCTTTGTGGAACCAAATATATAGGACAGTTGCACTGGACATGGCAAAATATAAACAAACTTGTACGAATTTTTGAAGCACGAAGAGGAATCATGACATCCTTTAAGTTTATTCTAGGGACACCTATTGCATTAGGAGTTGCTGACGTGCCATCCAGTGTTTTCGTTCTTTTTCTACTACATGTATTTTGCATGTATTTAAGCTACCAGGCTAGTAGAATCCTTGGACACAGATGAGAGTACTATGACACATACAGCAATGGCAGGACACCGTAAAACCATATAAATGTGGAGAATGAATAAGAAATGTAGAATAACATGTTTGAACTATCATTTTTTTACCGAACACTCATTTTTTTAACATACCTTACCGGTTAAAACTTTTTAAATAAAGGATGACACATTAATATTGTCGCATTTACACCATAGCCATTGGCCATTTGATCTTTTAAGAAGATCAATTCGATACATGATCCATGGTGCCACACAATCATCACAGAATACGCCTTTGCATTTCCATTTTGAAATATTTGTTGGACAAATGGACTGACAAGGTGAATGCACTATATCCCTCCTACAGTGGGGTATAACATAAGGTCTTATTCTTGGTAGTATACATGTTAAAGTTGATGTTCACATATTGTCATGAAATTTACAAACATCAAGATATAGGCGATCAAATTATTACCTGTGAAACATTTACTTACAAATGAGAAATGACAAACCAGTTTCCCCTGTATTTATTTCATTCAAGATGTCTAAATCAGAAAGAGTCTGAATATATGAAATACACTGAAAACATTTTTAAAATATTTTACATGAATCAATTGTTAATAAGCTTTACACATTGCTGTTGAAGACAATTTTATATAATATTGAATTTTACATGTTTTTGCAAAATGGTGCATCTTTTAATAAAGTTGTATCTGGAAGATAATACACAGATAAGGTTTCAATTTTGGTTTTGGTTAGGTATTTGCTTCCTATAATTTTTTTTCACATAGTCAAAAGTTTCGTAAATATCTTAAAGCAGTCTTGAGCTATCTATCAACATCTATAGGGATTTTCAATTTTATCATATGTTCTGAATTTACAAAGTTATCTAAGAAACATATCAAGGTACACAAATTATACTGTAATACTGTGCATATGCTTAAATATTTAAAAGCATTCAGAAAATGGCCCAAGTGTGAAATATATTCAGGGGAAATTGTCCTATCTGATGTTCAGTAGTTGTCGTTAGTTGATGTGGTTCATAAGTGTTTCTCGTTTTTTATATAAATTAGACCGTTGGTTTTCCCGTTTGAATGGTTTTACACTAGTAATTTTTGGGGCCCTTTATAGCTTACTGTTCGATGTGAGCCAAGGCTCCGTGTTGAAGACCATACTTTGACCTATAATGGTTTACTTGTATAAATTTTGACTTGGATGGAGAGTTGTCTCATTGGCACTCATACCACATCTTCTTATATCTATCTCTTTGTAAAAGGGAAACAGATACAAAACATAAACCATCAGTCGAAGAAAGACAGACAATACAATGACAATAGGGAAAAAACCAAATAGACAAACAATAGTTCACAAATCACTTCACAGAAAATAGAGCAACACAAAACATAACATTGAGCAACACAAAACATAAAATTGAGCAACACACAACCTAAAATTGAGCAACACACAACATAAAATTGAGCAACACGAAACATAAAATTGAGCAACACAAAACATAACATTGAGCAATAGAAAACATAAGATTGAGCAACACACAACATAATTGAGCAACACAAAACATAACATTAAGCAACACAAAACATAACATTGAGCAACACAAAACATAACATTGAGCAACACACAACATAAAATTGAGCAACACAAAACATAACATTGAGCAACACACAACATAAAATTGAGCAACACACAACATAACATTGAACAACACAAAACATAAAATTGAGCAACACACAACATAACATTGAGCAACACAAAACATAAAATTGAGCAACACAAAACATAACATTGAGCAACACAAAACATAAAGTTGAGCAACACAAAACATAAAATTGAGCAACAGAACACATAAAAACTAATAAAATATCCAGGTTGAACTCTGACACTCTAGAAAGATAAAAGATTTCCTGCTCAACTAATAGTGAATGTTCTGTTGGTTATGGCAAATATGTGTCAGTGGCAAGTCACATTGAGTGGTAGGATTGTGTGTACCACAAATTATACACATTTATGGCCATCTACGACATAGATAATCCCAAATAGTCAACCATTATCATGATGGCTCCTGTAAAACTTACAAAGAGATTGATCCAGTATTACCAAGTAACAAAAGTAAGGTTTTTGTTAAACCAATAAGTTACCTGGTTTTGTACAGAAACAATCAGAAAATGAAAAGTATCATTAATTCAAAGTTTATTAAAATGGCAACAACATTAACAAAGCTAAATAAATATAAAAACACACAGATCTAAATATTCATACTTTTACAAAAATATTGAATTATATAAATAACTATCACAAACTACAGGTAAATGTTAAATTTTTACCAACATATAAAGCTGAGACAAAATGAATGTGTACCCTGTGTTTTGAACCTATCATGATATAATGTATGAAAGATAAATGTCATTGTAATCACACACTCATCTTCATCCCCCCCCTTCCAAAAAAAAAAACCCCAACTGATTTGCAGCACTAACGTTTATGGTTTATCTTATTTATCATACTGAAGGACTTTTATGAATGCAACACTTAATCTGAGGACCATAAAATGTTAAAAAACTAATTCCAATTTATTGGTAAATTATAATCTTCAAGAAATATTTGTACATCTGTATGGTTTCTTGTAATTTATCAGTTTTTTGTATATAACTATTTTTAAATCTTCATTCCAAGAGATCAATATTTAGTTTTTAAAGTAAAACATTGAAAACTTTATCAAACCCTCAGCTATTCTCATTCTTATCTTGAACATTAATTAAATTTGTGCAATGAGAAACTATTGATTGTATAACATAATACTATGCAAACAGACAATATGCTACAATAAAACTATCTGACCTTTGTAAAATTGTTATTATACAACATAACAGGGTGTTGGAGGTGTAGGTTATATACCCCACTCTTTTATTTTGGTTGCTGTTCAAAATTTCTAAGTTCAGAGCTTAATAACTCAGGAAAATGTCAATTCCAATGTACAAGTTTCATGAAGCATGTAAGTTGAGCTGCAGTTACTGACTGGTAAAAAATTTTTACGTTCAAATAGACATAACTCCGGAATTCGTCAAGGGATTAAGGATGCCCTACTTATATGCCCATTTTTAAAGATAGAATCTTTCCATGAATAAAGCCTAATGGAAAGTTTTGTAACTTAATTGGACAAAAGACTTAAAAGTTAGTTCATCAGAAAATTTACCTTTCCAATACTATTTGGTTGCCTACTAGCAAAAAAAGCTTTACTGACAAAAAGTGACAAGAGCTGGTACAACCAGATGCAAATAAACAAGCATGTAAAAATAACTAGATGTGTTGAAAAAAAAATTCATTGGCAGATTCAGTATTGAATTTGGACAAATTTAATTGGCTTTGTGTTCATATTCTCTCAGAATGCAAAATTCAAAGTCTTAAAAAAGACATATTTCAGCATAGATCAACTGGGGAAAACACAAATAACTGACACTGTAAGAGAAATCTCCAGATAAAGCAAGGTATAAATTATTAAAAAACTTATATGCACATATAAGCATGATATTTCACATTTGTTTAATATTTCACTACATTCTAAAGCATATATACTGTAGGAAAAGTGGTGATCACAAAATATTGGTGATGATTTTATGAGTATTTGTAGATTAATGTCCAATACCTCTGCAACAAATGAATTAATGCTCTAAGTGTATCTCCTCCCTTTGTTATTTGTGAATTTGGGCTTCTTGTTTTAATTACATTTAATCTTACCATAAGGATATTACAAAAATCTTTTCATTTGAATAATACAAAAAATCTTTGGAACTCAATCATAACATCATACATTCAAGTTTTGTCAAACTTTTTTGTGTAAATTGACTAATTTTCACAACAATAGGGTTTAATAAACTGTTGACACAGAGATATGTCTATAGGCATTAAGTTTAGAAAAAGACAATCTAATGGACAGCAACATAGTTTATTAATTCAGTTGCTGGACCATTATCCAGTGGGCAGGACCACGAAATAGTCGTCAAACTGACATGAACTGATTGTAATGCAACTTCATACAAAAAATCATTGATCTATCACAAGTACATCCTATCAAACTAACTTAAGCAGAAAACTTAACATTGTAAATTACTAATTAATTCAAAGTTACTGGACCATGACCTTGAAATAGTCGTCAAACTGATATGTACTAATAGAAATGCAACTTTATATCAAATATCAATGATCTATCACAAGTAGTTCCTATCAAACTAACATAAGCAGAAAACTTAACAATTGTTGACGCCGTCTTTGCTGCAGCCATTGCCGACAAAGCAATCCCTATGTCTGGCTTTCTGTGACTTTCATCGCAGGTGATACAAAAATTATATCATACAACACCTTCATTAACGGAAACTTTGTTTAATATGGCACTATGAACATACACATGCATTAACTATCTATAGCTAAGAGCTATTAAGATCAAATTTGCATTTGACTAAAGAATTGTAAAAAATGTTTTGAACCGTAAGGTTTCTTGGTTGAAATCCCAGCAGCACATCTGTATCATAACTCTAATGTTGAGACCCCCCCCTCCCCCCTTTGTGAATCTGATACAATAATTCAAGTGCAATTCCACCTTTTTCAGTAAAATTGAATTTAATATTTCTGTAGAACCAATAGATGATAGAGAAAGGGCTGCCAAATGAAAACTAAAGGCTCTAAAGAGCCTGTGTCGCTCACCTGTATTTACTGATGCTTTGGAAATCATGTAAATAAGGTTAAAATCATAATTAATAGTATTAGATATTAGATATTATAATGATATCTAAGATAATAACAAAAAACTGTAAAATTTCTGTAAAATTACTAACTCAGGGTCAGCAACCCAACAACGGGTTGTCGGATTCGTCTGAAAATTTCAGGGCAGATAAATCTAAATCTGATGAACATTTTTGCCACCTGTCAGATTTGCTCTAAATGTTTTAGTTTCAGAGATATAAACCAAAAACTGCATTTTACCCATATGTTCTATTTTTAACCAAGTCGGCCATGATGGTTGGAAGGCAGGGTCATCGGACAAATTTTTTAAACTAGATACCCTAATAATGATTATGGCCAAGTATGGTTAAATTTGTCTCAATAGTTTCAGAGAAGAAGATTTTTGTAAAAGATTACAAAAATTTACAAAAAATTGTTAAAAATTGACTATTAAGGGCAATAACTCCTAAAGGGGTCGACTGACAATTTTGGTCATGGCAACTTATTTGTAGATCTTACTTTGCTGAACATTATTGCTGTCTACAGTTTATCTCTATCTATAATAATATTCAAGATAATAACCAAAAACTGCAAAATTTCCTTAAAATTACCAATTCAGGGGCAGCAACCCAACAACGGGTTGTCAGATTTGTCTGAAAATTTCAGGGCAGATAGATCTTGACCTGATTATCAGTTTTACCCTTGTCAGATTTACTCTAAATGCTTTGGTTTCAGAGATATAAGCCAAAATCTACATTTTACCCCTATGTTCTATTTTTAGCCATGGCAGCCATCTTGGTTGGTTCGCGGGGTCATCGGACACATTTTTTAAACAAGATACCCTAATGATGATTGTGGCCAAGTTTGGTTAAATTTGGCTAAGTGGTTTCAGAGGAGAAGATTTTTGTAAAAAGTTAACAACGACGACGCCGATGGAAGACGGACGACGGACGCCAAGTGATGAGAAAAGCTCACTAGGCCCTTCAGACCCGGTGAGCTAAAAATTATCAATTTTATAGACCATTAACACATATCTTTCTTCTCTGAATCCTCCTGAGAAGGCTCTTTCTCAAACGAATGAAGACTAGTTACCTCCCCTTCTTGCTGGACTTGATTCTGAAGTAAAAGATCATCAGGACATTGTGAATTAGCAGAATAATATTCTGATTTTTCACTACTGCCTTTACTCTCTGAACCATTTAATGACGATTCTAACGACCGTTCTTGTTTTACTGGTACATGAATTTTTAAAGTCCTGTCAGAGCCAGAGTTGTTTCCTTTTGAATCTTCTAATTCCTCTTTTGATTTGCTACACTCAGATTCAGTCTCAGGAGTGAAGTACTCTAAATCTGCAGTAGTTTCAGCAATTTCAGTCTCTAAAGATGGAGGTAGAATTTGTTGTGGTGTAACTATGGTAACATCTCCAAACCTTACTGAATCAATAGAGATGGTATCCACAAAATGTTTAACATTTTTCCCTACACCATTTGATAATTCAGCACTCCCTTCATTGCCAGATCTACCTGAATAACTAGACCAACCATTTGAACTTTTTTCTGAGATATTATCTTCTTTGTCTATTTGTGATATAACTTCTGCTATCTGGTTGTCATGTGAATTTTTATTGGATGATATTACATTTTGAACTGGTTGCTGATTGGTCAAATACCTGATAGAAGTTTTCAATTGCTCTTGGCTATTTCCATTATTCACTATACCTGCCTCCTTAGCTAGTCCATAGAAAATGCTATTTTCATTGGCTAGCAGATTATCTGGGTTGTCACATTCAACTATCTTTCCTTTATCCATTACAACAATTCTACAAAAGTGTGAAAATATATAGAGTGCCTATACTAGACACATACCTGCCAACTGTTTTGATTTATGGGGAATGTCCCCAATGAGAGATGTTGACCTGACTATTAAAATCTTTCATCATATAAACTAAACACAGGCATTAAAATTAGTGAAATATAATGTACATTTAAGTGCATAATTATACTTATTCAAAATCATAGTATACTAGATTAAAGAGACTTAAATTTAATTTAAATTGCCTGCAGGGGAAGAATATGATATAAATGTATACTGTAGTGTGCACATGATTTGGCTGAAGGAAACTGCAAAAACGATTCTTAAAACAAGCATTCTGTGAGTATTGCATGGCAATACATAGTCCTCTACCGGTTAAAAACTTATTGTATTGGAACAAAATTCTAACTAGATCTATAACTCGTCATGGTGTAAACTATATAACAAATATCAGGTCAATATCTTCAAGTATGACGAAAAAAGTGTTGAAAACTGATAATTTATATATTTAAGTGAATTTATTTAAGTGAATTTTCTAAGTCCAAGGACCATAACTCCGCACAAAATCATCAGACCGGAACAAAATTCGAACTTGATCTGTAACTTGTCATGATAAAACTATATACCAACTTTCAAATCAATATCTTCAAGCATGATGAAAAAAAATGCGGAAAACTGATTATTTGAGTGAATTTTCTAAGTCCAAGGACCATAACTCAGCACAAAATCATCAGACAGGAACAAAATTCAAACTTGATCTGTATCTTGTCATGATAAAACTGTAAAACAACTTTCAAATCAATATCTTCAAGCATGACAAAAAAAAGTGTGGAAAACTGATAATTTGAATGAATTTTCTAAGTGAAAGGACCATAACTCTGCACAAAATCATCAGACAGGAACAAATATCGAAATTGATCCGTAACTTGTCATAATAAAACAATAAACCAAATATCAAATCAATATCTTCAAGCATGAAGAAAAAAAGTGTGGAAAACTGATTTGCCCGGACTGAAGGATGGACAGACAGACAGACGGACGGACGGAGTGCAAACCTAATGTCCCCTTCGACTTCGTCGGTAGGGGACTAAAAAAGAAAAAAAAGGTACAAAAAAGCACTATAAGGTTAAGATCATAAAAAATTTCAATAAACTGTAATACAGGGTTAAGGAGGAGTTGCACTTATGAAATGGGTACCCCTCAAATAAAGCAATGGCAAGTCAATGCTTTGGTAAGGAAAAGTCCCAAAATATTCAAATAAAAAAACAAAATAGATGATGCACAAAAGCATTATATGGTTACGATTGTGAGAAAGTTTCAATAATTTGAAATAAAAGGTTAAGGAAGATTTGTGTACTGTAGTGTGCAGATATGACTAACTTGAGAGCCTATTGCACATATTTTGACAGTTTTTTCACCTACATTTGTGTAGGAAACAGAAAAAAATTTCCATTCTGTGTTTGTTTTGTAGATGTTTACTATATAAGTCCAAATAAAGAGAGCATACTGACATCAATAGGTCTCTAAACAAAATAGCTCTAGTGGAGATTTCTTTAGTTGAAGTTATATTAATTATGTGTATCAGCAGAGAAAAAAAATGGCAAAGAAATATGGCCTGGGTTTTATCATTATTTCCTTTTAAATGTTAAATCAGATCCTGGTTTGAAGTCTGTTAGAATACAGACATTACCTGTCATAATCCAGAACAGTTTTCAGTCTATGAGCTATAGCTAGTACAGTACATTCCTTGAATTCTCTGAAAATTGTTTGCTGTATTAAATCATCAGTGGCCAAATCAACAGCAGCAGTAGCCTCATCCAGAACCAAAACTCTGGTTTCCTTCAGCAACGTTCTAGCCAGACATACCAACTGCCTCTGTCCTACACTGTAATCAGTAACAATTTATTAACTTGAGAGTTAACTGTATCAATATGTTAGACTTGCAGATATAAATCTTTGATTTAATTTGTCACAAATTAAGCTTACCTATATGTATAGCTGTGTTGCAGAGCTATGTGAACTATTTTTTTTTTTTCATTACAAAATCAACGTTTGCCTCCCCAAAGCTTAAAATATGTTACAGCTATCCATTTTTTTGGGTTCTAAAATTCCTATTCCATGGAAAGTTCACTCTCTTGCCAATGTTATAAAAATATACATAATGTCATATATACATTTCTCTGGGTAAAATGATAATATAACAGTTAGGGTTATATTTTTTGGTGGACGACTTACCAACTGGTAATTGCGCCCTAGTTTTTGAAATAATCCAATGCATTTTTTTTTCAAATTCAATATTGTTTTGTTTATCTAATTTATCACGTATGTCAGAGAGTAGGTATTCATGCATATATGTTTGTACCTAATGATTATAAAATGAATTCTTTCTTTGACAGAAAAATTTAAAGGCTTTTTTTACTGTTTGTCTTACAGTATTTGTATACTTAAAGAGTAACGGAGTTTAAAAATACATTTATAGTTAAAACTATATTCCAGAGGGGGACTGCTTTACATGATGCATTGACCAATAATGACCCAAATGTAATATGATTTATATTTTTTTTATCCCTTGATCTCCAAGAATAATTTTTTTAACCTTTGTACAATAAATGGATACTGTAGTTGTTTCAATGTGGAGTTTTTTCACACAGGCGAATTAAGCAAATAGAATGATTTTAATAGGTTTTCACTTAAAATATATCACAACACTTTTTTATTTTGACCCCCTTACCCTGATGAAAACCTATTATAGGGTGACATCACTCATAAGTTCATGTTTTCATACTGCATAGGTTTCTGATGTTATCATTTGAATTTTGTGTGTAAAATATAATCAGAAACGGAAAAACTAGTCATTTTTAATGCCATATTGTAAATTTTAGATGTCTACTTATGATAAATGAGTGTTGCTGGGCTGCTGTTTCATTAATGATTATCCAACATCTTCTTTTGTTCATATAATCACCTCAGATTTTGACCTCCCTCTCCACATTGAAAATCCAATTTTCCAGGCAAATTATTCACACATTCTCTAAGGTGAGCATGCTCCAGAGCAGTCCACAACTGATCATCACCATAGCAACAAAAAGGGTCCAGGTTAAGCCTGAGAGATCCAGAAAATAGGACCGGATCCTTTAATATATCAATGATATTTTTTTATATAAATTGGTTTTACACATTCAAAACAAAATATTTTCTAAAAAGGTTATTTCTACTGCCTCTTGATATAGCATAAACAAGTTTAAGATCTATAACCTCTCCCTAAAAACTTCATCATCAAATTAAACAATTAAATCAAACTAGAAAATGTCATTTCAAATCATCTTGACCAAAATACTACTTTCTGATTTATTAGATAATTTAAACCCTGATTCTGTTAATTTATTTATTTACCTGAGGTAGAATTGTAACTTTTTCTCTAAGATCATGAAGACCAATGGTTTTAATATTTACTCCATCAATAGCGATGTCCCCACTGGCTGCCTCTACCAGACGGAAGAGAGCCAAAGTTAATGATGACTTCCCTGCACCTGTTCGCCCCACAATTCCAATCTATAAAATGACATTCAATTATAAAGATAGAAACAACTTGACATGAACATCATACAGATAAAGTCAAGTTACAGTTGAACTTGTCACAAAATAGTTTTTCATTTATTTTTAGGAACAATTGCCTCATCTGTTTCAGTCATATCAAAGAGCTACCATGTCTTTTCGTTGGACCTTCATGCCTCAATTTTTTAGTTTGGTTGGTATATTTTGGATTATATTTTTCTGTGTATCTAGTTTCACAACTGAAATTAGCTTTTTAAAATTAGTACATGTAGTAAATGCATCTTTTGAGGAACAGGTAGAGAGAACATTTTTTTCTTCATTTTTGCCTATGTTAGATTTTCTCTATCTATAGCAGTTTTCAAGATAAAAGACAAAAATTGCATTTTACTCCTATGTTCTATTATAAGCCATGTCTGCCATCTTTGTTAGAAGGTGGGGTCATCAGACATATTTTTGAAACTAGATACCCAATTGATGATTGTGGCCAAGTTTGATTAAATTTTGCCCAGTAGTTTAAGAGGAGATGATCTTTGTTTTAAAGTTAACGGACGATGACAGACGACGCACTCCAAGTGATAGGAAAAGCTCACACTGGCCCTTTGCGACTGGTGAGCTAAAAAAGTAATGTTTATTATGTTTGATCAAGGTAAGTTTCACCCTATTATATAAGATGTATCGAAATCAAGACTTTTTGTAATCATGTCTCTTCTTTCACTTCACTTTAACCTTGGTTATGAGTTACAATCCATTAAACAATTGACATTTGATATTTTTAATTTTCATGCAAAAATTTCACAATTTATAATTAATTATCTCCAATTCTTTATGCATTCAAACTGATTCTGTTCTGTTTAATAAGTTTTGATAAACCATTTTGATTAAATTTGTCTTGTGTAATTTCCCTGGCAATATTCATTAGAACATTTTCCGTTCAATCATTAAAAAGGTTCTATCACTTTATCCTGTTGACTTCTAGATTTATCCACTCTCAATGGTTAAATTTCAAACTTTTGAATGCTTATTTTTATGTGAAAGAATCTATATTTCTACACTCCACAATCTCTCATTATGGATTTTTATTTTGTCCAACAGTGATCTTTATTTGATTGCCTTATGTAGATATTCTATTTGCGGTGACATTTTTATCAATTTAAGATTTAAGGCCTGGACTGCATTGTTCACTAGCCTTTAAATTTTGTTACAATTGGAAATGAAATAAACAATTATTTGAATTACGCAAAAGACATCAGATAAATTGATGACTTCATACATTCGAATGAAGTTCCTATTCCTTGAGGGGCAGAAGGACCTTTTTCCCGACATTGGGATTGAGCCGTTTAATTCACAGGATTTTGGGAATAGCCATGTAATCGGCGGGAATTTAGGATTTCGGGATATATAGCAATGCTGGAACGAGCACATTATTTTCACCTGAATTCAGGATTTGGATTTTATTTTCAGGATTTTAGGATTAGACCCCTCCTACCCTCCCTCTTCCTTTCCATTACCTTTTCTCCATGATGTATTTTAAGATTAATTCCTTGTAAAACAAGCTCTGTTCCAGTTCTGTATCTCATTTTAAAGTCTGTAAATACAATTTCACCTTTTTGTGGCCAATTGTCAGGTGGTTTCTTTGCAGATCTCCAATTAGCCTTTAATTTATAATTTTTTATTAAAGTATTAATGCAACTGAAATTGTGTCTTAATTTTATCAGTATTCATTTCATCAATATAATGTTAGTCATTTGTAAATGTTTCTTAAAGTGGTCAAAATTGGATCTAAAACAAAAACAAAGGTACTTTATAAAAATTTTATCACACTGAACTCGAGAGAAAAGAATCCTAATATAACACAAAAATTGAAAAACAAAGCGGAATTCACAAATTCTAATCACTTTCCTATATTTTCAATATGGACTCTCACCATAAACTAACCATTGAAATGCAATAAGCAAATAATGCCACTTTTGATTGAATGGTGTCTGCTGTTAATCCCAAAGTTAATAGAGTCTTATGGTAACAATATAAAACATAACTTAACATGTACAGTTATGAGAACTCCTGATCCTACATCCTATTATTATACTGTTTACTTATATTTTGGCATTGCATAAAGTCATGTGTTTCTCAGACTGTTTATGATTCTTTCACCTTAATCTGTTGGATGTGTTCTGATTGACACTTCAGTCTGGGAAAACATGATTCATTTATAAGTTGTAATTGATCATAATTGGCTTTAAACCATGCTTTCCATAATTGTGGATACTCTCATTTCGGTGATTTGTGTCGTTACTGTTTTTTGTTAGTTGCTTTTGTGTCTTGTACAGATCTTTTGAGTTAAGCCAATTGCAACTTATTTTTACAGTTTGTTCTTATGTTCTGATGTTACACTACTGTCCAAGGTTAGGGGGAGCGTTCACAAACATGATTAACATTCTTTATGTGCCTGTCCCAAGTCAGGAGCCTGTTTTAAAGTGGTTTTTGTTGGTTCATGTCTGTCATATTTTTTTTTTTATAAATTGTTTTGATATAAATGAGGCTGTTAGTTTTCTCTTTTGAATTGTTTCACATTTTGAATGTCGGGGCCTTTTATAGGCAACTATATGGTATGGGTTTTTCTCATTATTGAAGGCTGGGTTGTGGCCTATAACTTCCTACTACCACTCATTTGAACTCTGGTGGATAGTTGACTTATTGGCAATCATACTACATCTCCTCATCTTTATACCAGTCAACATTTGAAGGATATTTCAAATGTATCATTTTGAACATTTTAAGAGTACTGCATTAGAATGTGAGTACTGTATTTGAAGAGTTGCATCTATCAATTTGGGATTTGATGGTCACTAATCTCTATTCCTTAAATACCTGTGAGGGTTTAAATATTTGTATATTATGGCTTGTGTTATAGCCAGCAATTATGGGCCTAAATGGTTTGAAAGTTTTTTGAAAACTGAATTTAAATAGACTTACATGTGGAAGTTATTGTACCATAAACATCGTCTATGACTAAGTTGAGGTAAATAGGAAAATATGTTTACCTCTGAATCAATTTCTGTATATTCTTTAATCCTTTCTACACACACAATATTGCTCTGAAGGTCACTCATGTTTATCACCAGTAGATTCAATATGTAAGTAGCCTAAAATGCACAAAGTCAAATATGTAATAGCATGTAAACAATTCAATGTCATCAGTATCAAGATAATCAATTAGCTTAATCAAATGTGTGGCATTGATTATGTTTTCCATATATCACTGTCACATTATCTGTTATGGTCATTGACATTGCATTAAAAAATGATGCTCATCATTCAAAGAAACAGCCTTGTATAATCTACATTCAGTTTGTTTCTAAATCTTATGTTGAATATGAATAGTGTTGTATTGTGTAGACTAATGTCATTTACCTTAAATATTTGAAAGAATCAGTATCATGACTGATTATATGATTTGTTTTTTTCAAAAGGAGTTGAGTTTGGTGTCTGCCTAAGAATGCCATCTCAGGTGGATATTCAAATTTTTTTCAAAACCTATTTTGATGCTCATTTGCAGGGCTGGCAAAATGACTTTTATGACGTCAATGGATGTGACTTATCACAAGAGTTTTACTTAAAATGGAGCAAGATGACCTGGTGTACTAAATACTTATATTTCTGGGGTAAATGTGTTCACCCATAGTTTTTGATGGTGTTTGTGTTGCACAGTCTTTAGTTTTCTATGTATTTTTCTGTCTGTTTATCTTCTTTCTTTTGGCCATGGTGTTGTCTTTGTTTATACTTTTGATCTGATTGCATGCTTGGTATCATCTCCCCCACCATCCTTTAATTTTGACACTTAAGAAGGTCTACTTTCAGTATAACTTACAATACATTAAAAGCATAAAATTATGTTAAATGACTTTACTGCAAGGTGCATAACTTAAGGATATGAATACAAAATGATGTGCTCTATAATTTGTATTTGTGGATATATACCTGAATTGCGTAAACAACAGACAAACCAACAAAAGATCCATCCAAGTCAGAGTAAATACTGAACAAAGCTGTTGCTATCACAAAGATGTTACCTAATAGTTCCAATCTTATACCAAGCCACCTAAAATAAAGGAATTATCAATTTCATTTAAAAGGAAATCCCAATTTTTCAATTTATTTCTTTGTGATCAAGTATAAACATCTAATAATTCACTAAGTGTGTATAAGTTTTATTCTAGAAATCTCATATTTTAGTTGAACTATGTATATTTTTACAAATATTTACATTATTTGGTTGAAACACACTCGTAAAAAAATGCAAGGAATCCCTGAAGTGGGTGTTTGAACAGTATATGGAATAGCAAATTGTAAAAGAAATATATATGTATAACACCAATCTATATGTTTATAACATATATTTCTGGAATCACTTCAATGAACTGCACTAAGTACAAAAAGACTTTAAAGCCAAAAACATCAAACATTACAGAGCATCAAAACAAAAATGGACTCCAGATTAAAAAAGGGGGAGGGTCGTGATTTTAAACTTGGTGCAACCATGCCACATGTTCAAGTGCCTTATATACCACTGAAAATACATGAAACACTTAATAAAATTTCATGAGTCCACAGCACTTTTCTTGATTTAACTTTGGGAATGCTAAAATCCAACATTTTAAAAGAAAGGGATGTATAAATATTTGATTAGCCATATGACCAAAATTGTCCTAAAAATAACCTCCATAACTGTCTAATGTCAACTTTGCCTGAGTAAGTAAAGTCATCAGTGGTTCTCTTCATTTGTATCTTAATGCGTCTTTGTTTTTAAAAGAATTTGGTGTTTATGACAGTTCTTTGATAGACATTATCGTTTCTGTAAATTATATTTATAACTTTTATCTACAATGGGGAAATTTAGAGCTTGATATATTCTTTAGACGCTTGTCTAATCATAAAAATGGTATGTTAACGTCTAGATGTTTTTGGGGGTTTTCTGTATTCAGTGACCAATCAATATCAGTCACTAATCAATTACTCATTGAAATATCTTTTATGGAAAGATACAAAGCGTGCTATAAAAAAATTCAGTAAAATTAAGAAATTCTGATTTATGGAAAAATAAGTTTCTCAAATGACTAAAGTTTGAAATTTAGCATAATTTCTGCAGTAGTTTCTGACATTGCAGTAACCAATCTCTCATTTTTGTCAACGGGGCAGCAATTGTCTCTAAAGTTTAAATACTATATTACCAAAGTTACCTTGCAGAATTGAAGAAAGCATAGTAGTAAACCATATTTTTATCAAGTCTCTTTAGGGCTTCATTCATAAATCTCTCTGAAGCTTTGTATGCCCTGATAACAATAGCACCAGCAATGGTCTCACTGAAGTGGTTGAAGACTGGTGATCTATGTATTGATTCTAATCTCTTTAACTGACGGGAGGTAGGCAGGTAAAACCTCTACAAATGAATAAGTTTTAACAGAAAACTAGCAGATAGATAGCATTAACAAGTTAAAACACAAGCAAGGTGCAAAAGTCTGAGTCAATGATAATATTCTTGCTTTCTAACATGTCTTGGTATCACATAACATTCTATAAAAAATATTCTTTCAGCATCATATTTTGGCTCAATATTATTCATAAATTCAAAACTCATCCAAAATTTTCATTTCAATAAATACATGTGAACTAGCTGTCAGTAGCTGCAAGTACTCTCAGATCTGTACTTAGTGTCTTTTTTGTTGTGGGGATGTATAGATATCCTGCCACATCCGGTCTGTTTTTTGTTAGATGTTTTTTCTGCATTGTATTGATCTGATGAGTTAAGCCCTTTTCAACTGATTTTTATAGTCTGTTCTTATGTTGTACTAGTTTAACCCCACAACATTCTGTATGTGCCTGTCCCAAGTTATTTGGTTGTCCTTTGTTTGTTGCTGTATATCATATTTGTATTTCATTCATTGTTTTGTACATAAATTAGGCCGTTAGTTTCACATTTGAATTGTTTTACATTTGTCATTTCAGGGCCTTTTATAGCTGACTATGCGGTATGGGTTTTGCTCATTGTTGAAGGCTGTTCAGTGACCTATAGTTGTTAACTTCTATATCATTTGGTCTCTGGCGGAGAGTTGTCTCATTGGCAATTATACCACATCTTCTTATTTCAATGAATACATGTGGCATAAGCTTAACCAAAATCACAACAAAATCTGTCGGCATATCCTCACCATAATTACTCCATAACAGATCATAAGAGGTACAACTGTGCTTAGTATTATTGGTGTATTAATACAAATGACTATAACCGTGGTCATAGCTAGATAAAGTGAGTTCAAAGTGATACGGAAGGTTAATGGCAGTGCAGTATCCATCATTTCTACATCACTTGAAAATCGATTAATTATACGGCCTAGTGGTGTTGTATCAAAGAATTCCATAGGAGCTCTCATTATCTTGTCTAACATGTGTTGATGAATTTTTCCAGCTGCTTGAACCATTTTCACTGACACTAGGGTTGCATATATCAAAACAAAGGCAGCTACAATAAAATAAGGAACAAAATTAAAACATAATGTAGAAAGGGCCATCATTTTACTTTAGGGAACCCATCCCATCGTTACCCATATAGAGATATACAGAACTAACCCTTACCCTAAAACAAACCTTGATAAAATCTAAGCCCTTATCTTAAAGTACAGGGTCCCCTAAAGTAATGAAAGTATTACTGTGATTATAGAGTTTTTAATGTTTGCAACCCATGCCAATCTTTTAATAATTCTACTTGCAGAAGTCATATTTTCTTATGGAAACATTAAGAACAGGAAAAATGATATATATTGCTATTTCCAATCTAACGTCTGTCAATGTTTCTGTTTGTCAAGGATAAATCTTGTTATTTCTAACTTTATATAAAATATCAGCTTTGATCACTAATTGAACTTCTTTTGTTGGAAAGTGACACAGCAATTAAGATTAAATTACCTTCATATTATGTAGATCACCGGATATTTTACAGTAAGGAATATATTATAATCGTCGTAATGAAAAGTATTTGTAAGGATTTCCTGCTTGAAACCATAGTTCCTTTCTGCTTTTAAAAGCTATTGGTAACATGACTTGATAATTCTGGTAAAACTTATCAACCTCAGCCCATAATAATAATAATAATAATAATAATAATAATAAAAATAAAGCTCAAACATTATGACGAAAGTATGAAGTCCATGTTAAAGTTTTTAAGGTCAGGTAAAATAAAATTAACCTCAAAAGGCCATAAAATGGGATTTAAAAAATGCTATGCAGGTTGGTTCAGGCAAGGGAAAACAAATCAGCACTAGTATTACCGCTTATTTCAGTATGTTTTGCATACCTCATGGCCTTCAGTAAAAGTATTCTGACTTACCTTGTATAATACCAAGTACCCCATATCCCAGTAGATAGTAGTTAGTTTTGTCAATGAACTTTTCAGTACCAGAGTTGTTTTGATTGGTCAAATATTGATCATTAGTCCAGAAAGTCAACCAGAAGTTAGCATATACACTGGCAGCATGGTACATAGAAAACACAAACATCACTATAATGGACGCTCCTATTCCTAATGCTTTGGTGTAGGCTTTATACACAGGCCATTTCACCTGAAAAAATGACAAACTTCAATGTATAGAATGTACTAAAATTTGGGTTATTTTCAGGTAGATATTTTATGCAATATTCTCAATAAAATGCTCTGCTAGACGCAGCTGGATACAACCGCAGAGGTCGAACACTGAACAGCTGGGGCAAGTATGGACACTACATTCAAGCTTGATACAGCTCTGAATTTGGATTGTGATTAAATATTTGACACATCCTATGTTTCTGTCACAGAACGAATGTGGTCAAAGAACTGAAGAATTTGAAATTGGATTTAACCTATAATGGTCCAATATCCAAAATCTAAATACACAGTTAGATTAAACATATCCAAGTAAACCTATCATTTAATTTATCTATTTGTTAATGATCAATATTAGCTAAGTTTTTATAGGGGTATTCTTCATAAAAAAATTATATATATAACATTCTGAAAATTATTTAATACAGAATAACAAACAAACCTTCCACGAAGTTCTTCAAAAAAATGTACAAAAAAAATGAAAAAAAAACAATTTCCAAAAGAAAACTTACCTCTTTTCAAAATACATAATAATGAACAGTAAATTTCAAACTATATTTAAACATAATTTCTAAAATTAGAATATGATGCTATATCTATTTTTAACTATGACTCAACTTAAAATTTCTGTTAATTGTGCAATACAGCTCTAAATTTAGATTCTGATTCAATACTTGATATGGCATAGTTTCTGACACAGAATGAATGTGGTCTAAGTACTTAAATGATTTAAAATTGGACATTTACCAATTATGGCCAAAAAACCAAATTCTAAATACATGGTTGGAATCGGCATATCAAAGAACCCAATGATTTAATTTTTGAAGAAATCCAACAAACTTTAATTTTGGACCCTTTGGACTTCAATGTGGACCAATTTGATAACAGGACCCAAATTCTAAAAACACACTTAAATTCAGGATATCAAAGAACCCCATATGTTATTCATTTTTTGTTAAAATCAAACAAAGTTTAATGTTGGACCCCAATTTGAACAAACTTGGAAACTGTGCCCAAAATCAAAAACTTAATCATATGCCTAGATTCAGCATATCAATTAACCCCAAGAATTCAATTTTTGTTAAAATCAAACTATGTTTAATTCTGGATACTATGGATCTTAATGTGGACCAGTTTGAAAAATCAAAAATCTAAAACACTGTTGGATTGGGCACATCAAAAAACATCAATAATTCAATTTTTGATGAAATCAACCAAAGTTTAATTTTGGACCCCAATTTGGACCAACTTTGAAAACCAGGCCCAAAAATCAAAAATCTAAAACACTGTTGGATTGGGCATATCAAAGAACACCTATAATTCAATTTTTGATGAAATTTTGGACCTCAATTTGGACAAACTTGAATACTGTGCCAAAAATATAATTACATGCTTAGATTCAGCATATCGAAGTACCTCCAAGAAATCTTTTTTTTTTAAATCAAACAAAGTTTAATTTGGGACCCTTTGGACCTTAATGTTGACCAATTTGAAGACAGGCCCCAAAATTAAAAATCTAAATACACAGCTAGATTCAGCATATTAAAGAACCCCAATTATTCAAAACTTTGAATTAAACCCCATTGAAATTGGTCAAGAAATAAGCAATTTATACAAAGTATTACAAAAGTATTGTTTTTGGCCTCTTTTCACATAACCCCCAAAATCAATCCCTTGTGGCACATACTCAAGTTATAATCCAGAAACCAGAAAATCCTAGTTTATGGTCCCTTTTAGGCCCCTAATTCCTAAACAATCCCAACCTTCCTTTTGAAGTATGGAACCTTGTGGCAACATTTCATAGAGATCCATACACTTATACTCAAGTTATTATCTGTGAATCAGAAAAATAATTGTTTTTGTTGGCCCCCCTTTTTGTCCCTAATTACTAAACAGCTACGACAATAACCCCCAAAATAAATCCCAACTTTCCTATTGTGGTATGGAATCTTGTGCTAAAATTTCATAGAGATCCATACCATTATACTTATAAGTTATTGTCTGTGAACCAGAAAAATAATTGTTTTTGGCCCCAATTACAAAACAGCTATGACAATAACCCCCAAAATTGTTCCCAAACCTCCTATTGTGGTATGGAACCTTGTGCTAAAATTTCATACAGGTCCATATACTTATACTTAAGTTATTATCTGCGAACCAATTTATTGTTGGACCATTTTTGGCCCCTAATTACAAAACGGCTACGACAATACCACCCAAAATCAATCCCAACCTTCCTATTGTGGTATGGAACCTTGTGCTATAATTTCATAGAGATCCATACACTTAAACTCAATATATTGTCTGCAAACCAAAATGTCTTAGAGTGCTGACACAGACATTACCATAACATAATACGAAAGCAAACAATTTTGCGGTCGTATACAAATAATACAATAAACAAACCAATAAATTTTGCAGAAGTTCAAAATATTTGAGTTATTTGGAATTGAACATGAATTCTGGAGCCATCAAATACAGGCAAAAATTTCATTTTGACTTATATTTATGACCATTTATTAAGTGGAAGATATCTATTTTTTCGATTCCACAAAATGCCTTGAGAATGCTTTACACAATTATTGAAATAATGTAAAAACCACTAAACAAAGGAGTAGCTTGGTTAAAGCCCAATATGACACCTCTTTTGAGGTAACTAGGATTTAATGGCCATTTTCACAATGCGTCATAGTTAAAACAATAGCTAGAAAGGAAATTCTTTTCTTGTGATTTTTTTTATTTCCAAGTGTTATTTTTTCTGATGTATAAATGAGCATAAATTTAGGATGGATACCCCATATCCTTTGTTTTTCTATTAAATCATCAGTTTTTAGGATGGATACCCCATATCTTTTGTTTTTCTATTAAATCATCAGTTTTTACGATGGATACCCCATATCTTTTGTTTTTCTATTAAATCACCAGTTTTTAGGATGGATACCCCATATCTTTTGTTTTTCTATTAAATCACCAGTTTTTAGGATGGATACCCCATATCCTTTGTTTTTCTATTAAATCACCAGTTTTTACGATGGATACCCCATATCTTTTGTTTTTCTATTAAATCACCAGTTTTTAGGATGGATACCCCATATCCTTTGTTTTTCTATTTAATCATCAGTTTTTAGGATAAAAAAAATACAGAGTATCCTACCGTAGTCTATAATCGGTCATAATGTTGGTTCGTTCGGATTTTGTTATTGTACTTATCACACGGGAAAACTCCGCATTGACGTCACTACGCTAATACCAGCGTACAAAATTAGTACAGAATACATTTTTTCTACTCTTCGAAATAAACAAACATTTCTAAAGATATGTTTTCATTGTTATTCTAAAGAATTGTACAAAAATGCCAATTTTCTAATGGCCGTTTCAAACCTGACTTCCGAATGCCTAAAAACATTCCAGAACTTCAGAAATCCCCTCTTCTGGCCTCCATTGCTTTGTTTACATTCCATTAAGCGTCATCAATCTTAATGGCAGACCAAACAGGCCAAGCAAATCGTATTTTCAAGAATTTCAAAATGGCAAACACCTTACGTCTTAATCGATTTTCCCGCAAAAAAAACCCATCCAAAATGAAAGAAAAACTTTGGGAAACAAACGATAATCATGCCATATTTTTGGTCAGGAATATAGAGTAGGTTAATAAAAAAACAATATACATATATTTTTCATTAAAAAAAAATTGGTTCAATATAAAGAGATCGATATTCTGACCATAAGTAAATATTCATATAAAATTCCATTGATATCAAATTTCATGGCTAATAATGAGGTTTCCTATTGAATAAACCCCCAATTTATTGCAAACTATTTCAAAGCAATATCATACAAACAAATTATATAATTGCCTTGTACTAAAAAATCACCTAATTGACAGTAGAGCAATTTGATTGGATATAACGATTCAATGTGTCACGTGGTTTTGAAGCCATTAGAATTTGAATGTAAACAAACCGGGTCAGCTGCTGCAGTATGGAACAACATCGTATATTCAGTGACTGAGAAACAATAATGAGTAACCAAGCTTGACAATACACAGTAATAAAAAATCAAAGCTAAGTCTACAGAAAAATAAAATAAAAAATGGCCTTAAGTGCACGACTTACCACCATTGCGGGATATGTGTCAACATGATATAATAATCTACTATCTCCATTGGGCAACGAAACAGTAGTTTGGAGGGTCCCGTCTCTTATAATACAACACTGAGTAGCAGTTTTATTACCAGAAAAGCATTGCGAGGGCAAGTAAATATAACTGAAAAATGTTGATAAAAAGAAAATCCATCAAAACGGAATGACCAAATTTATTTCTGTACTGTAATAGACCGAAATCAAAAATATAGTTTCATTCATAGGCCTTTCAGATTCAGATTTGTCTAGTAAATAAGGGGGGCCAGGCCATTTTCAGACCCTTGGTGACAGCTACTCATATGATCTTACCCCACCAGTCTCAGGCTGCTCATCATGTGTCAATCTTGTCTGAAGTAACAAGGCTGGGGTTTGTGCTATATGCTCTTTCTTCTTTATTTCTTTATTCCTAAAACATTTGAAAGCTTTCATTGTTACAAAAATATGTGTGTGAAATTTAAATTCAATTCTTTCAGAATGTTAGCTTCTTCAAACAAAATATTTAGTTCATTCAATTGCTATAAGAATGTTCATATACGTGTATATCAATGAAGCATATTGTAGGTGCAAAAAATGCAACTTTTGAATATTAACACAATTGTAAATTCTGTGGTTCCATCTTATTAAGGTTGTGTTTTTTACTTTTATCCTCTGTCTGGTTTTCTCATGTTTAAGTCCATAAACCAAGAACTGTGTATTACAACTAGAACACCTCAGAATCATTTAAACATATCAAAATTCTTACTGTTTTCTAATCAGACTTAGTGCTGGTTCATCAGAGTTCAGTCCATCTGAGGTCACTGATTCAACTTGTTCTAACATCATATTTCTAATTTGCTGAACTGTAAAAAAACAAGGAAATAATAATGTTAAAAAAAATCAAGTAACTGTAAATAAATTTTTTGATACTACTGTAGTAATGTTGACATCTTATATTAATGTTACTAACTACTTGAATATAATAAAAACTCAAGACCAGTAGTAGAAATGCAGGAGATAAAAAAACCTTCAAAAACTGGATAAGTGTGCAAGACTTGGATGTCTAAGACTTTTTGTATAAGCAAAAACTGGGTTGTATTTACATCATTAAAAATCTTGGAAAATATTTCCAGTTTAAGACACAGTGGGACAACATTTTCAGTTTATTGAAAACCCTTCTATAAATAATATTTCCAATCTGAAACATCTATTGGTGAGGTTTCCACCATTTGGGAAGAATTTCAATCTCTGACACCCTCCAGAAATATTTCCAGTCTCTTATAACATTGAGCAATATTTCCAGTCGTTATTCTTTGGCTTAGATATTCAGTCTCAAACACCCTACGGCATGATTTCCAATTTCAGACAACCTTTGGTTGGATTTCCAAACCATTGGTTCAATTTCCAATCTGACACCTGGTCAAAACTATTTTGCAATAGGTCAGTTATACAAAAGTCAGTTGAAATCATAATTGTTCAGGGTAAAGTCCATTCTGCTCTTGTCCATTCAGATTTACATCTCACAATTTCTTTTTCATACAGAGTGATAAGCCTACAATAAGTCTATTTCCACTTTTAATTTCCATGAGCAAATTCGTCCCTGATAATTATGTCAATCTGCAATCAGCCATCATAGAAGACAAACAAAAAGGAGTAAAACAACTTTTTTTATCAATACTAACTTTCTGGATCATCAATAGCCTCTTCTTCATTTTGTTCTATAAAATACTGCTTCAGGAAGTGAGCAAATGGGCCGTCATGGTTGATTAAATCATCATAGGTTCCAACTTCAGTTATTCTACCATTTGTCATTACAATTATGTGGTCTACCATTGGTAACCAATGGATACCATGTGTTACAAGTAAACGTGTCTATAAAAATATATAATTATTCTGGATTTATCAATGTTTCCAGTTTCAAGTAATACAACAATATCAAAGGGGTCAGCAATATTTTCTATCAGCTCAAAGTGAAAATATTGTGTCCTGGAAGGATCAAATACTTTATCTTTTGACTTAGCAAACTATAATCTGACAGACAGTGCTGTGATCTAGTTCAAAGTCTGGTATGTTAATGAAGCAGTAATATGTTACCCTGAATATGACTGTGATATTTGCCACTTGATGTTGACCCAATCCACTTCACTTTCTATTAATGGTATATGAAATATGATGAGACAACAGCTCATAGTTTGAAGAATAGTAACAACTATCATAATCTGTGAATGAACTCACAAGAGCATAACCAGTGTCTCACTAAATTGATTATCTCCCCTGTAACATGTTGAAAAAGGATTATATTCCTTAACGAATATCTGCAGGTAGTGTTGTACAACTGTTTAAAGTTTCATCAATATCTGTTCATCAGTTTAGGAGAATTGTGCTTACAAGACACATGGACAAACAGACATGGTGATTTCTATATACCCAACAAAACTTTGCAGAAAATATGGTTGTGAGGGATATAAAAATAAATGCAGATGATTATAACAAAAAGTATACCTTATTTTTAAGCAAGCCTTTGTTTCCAATTACTTTTTCAAAGATATGTTTTCCAACATGAGCATCGACAGCACTAAGAGGATCATCCATCAGATACACATCAGAATTACTATACACTGCTCTTGCCAAACTAACTCTCTGTTTTTGTCCTCCACTAAGATTGATACCCTAAAATAAGATAAGAAATATTCTTAAAAATGTAGCACTTAAAGGAGAAGGGTTGGACCAAGAAATCTGTGGTTGTGTGTTGGAGGGTTGGGTTTCAAATTAGAAGAAACTTTTGGTTGTTGCAAGTTTTTAGTTAAATTTTTTTGAATGAAAAATTAAAATGAATTGTAAAGTTTTAATCTCTTTAGACAAAAAAAAACTTTATTATCTTTATAGAAAAAAAATGGTGAATGTGTCCATGGAACACAGAAGATTTCCCCGCTTGCATATAACGTTATAAAGGGACATAACCCAAGAACGGTAAAAGTGACCCTACCATAGGTAATAAGCATTGAGTATAAGTTTCATAACATTTGGTTGAGGCAAACTAAAGTTAGAGAACGGAAACCAATTTCGGGACATACGGACGGAAGTACTGTTGACAGGAGTAAAACTTAATGCCCCCTCCACTACGGCGGGGGCATAATTAGGAGATTGATTGCAAATGTATAGGACACAGCCATCCACTGTGGAAAAAGGGTGACCATACACTCTTTCTCTTTATTTGTTGGTAGATGACAATCTCATTGGAAATCATACAACATCTACTTACTATTATAATAAACAAACACAATTCTGAACAGAAGGCGGCATATCAATAGTAAAACAATTTGTACTTTGTCAGTAAAAAGAGAGTGATAAAGAAATATTTCATGTAACGACTTTGACAATATAATTACTTATGTTTTCTGGCTTAGAGGTCATTCATTATTCATCAAGTTTTGCAGAAAAGTCTTTTTTAGGTCATTGTGAATTCACATTTTCATTTCACCTTCTTCCATGCAAATAACCTCCCTTTATTGTCCTTACTGTGATAAAAAGTCATGTTAAACTAATTTTACCTTTTCGCCTATTTCTGTTAGATCTCTGCCTGGTAAAAGGTCAAGGTCAGAGGTCAGAGCACATGCTTCTAGCACTCTTTTATACTTTTTTTGCATGAAAGTTTTTCCAAATAATATGTTGTCCATCAATGTGGCATTCTGTATCCATGCTTCCTGTGGTACATATGCCACTGAGCCCTTAAAGAAACATACAAATTGAACTTTTTGAGTTCTTTCAGCAAAAGCAAATTCTTTTCCAAAATGCGCATTAATCAATAATTCTTTTGGTGTTTTTATTGGTTTTTTTTTAGATTTGCATTGTTGGTTTATTGTTCCTGTGATGTATGTATACCTCACCCTCTCCTTTTGATAATATACACTACCTCAACCCTTACTCACCTAAACAAAAATATATCCATATAAAAAATAAGAAGATGTAAAATGATTGCGAATGAAACAGCTCTCCACCCAAGACCAAATGACATAGAAGTTTACAACTATAGGTAACCATACGGCCATGTTTGTTTAATATCTTTTGTTTAACTTAAGTTAAATAGTATTTTTTTATTGAGGCTTTTGTCCAAAATTGCATTCAAATTTTTGGCAAAAATGAAGGCTACAGGAAAATTAATTCATCATCAACAAAATTATGAATTAAAGTAAGTATGTGGTAAATGTTTATGAGACAATCTTAAATTAGAGGTACTGTGAGAAAAGCTCACAAAATGATACACCTGAACCAACATGAAGCAATGGAAAAGTCTATAATTTGTAGAGAAAACCCCAAAAATAATTGAATAAAAAATCAAAATAGGAGGTGCACAATTGTATTATATGGTTTAGATTCTGAATTTTTTTAATATATTCTGCTAATTGAGGTTAAGGGCAGAGGCATTTGCTGATATAAAATAGGTACCTCAAGATAACCAATGGCAAAGTCAATGATTGCTCTACAACAAAATAGGTGCACAATGGCATTATATGGTTAAAATTTGAGAATGTTTCATTTAATTTTGATAGAGGTTTAGAAGGAGATACAGATATAAATTGTACTGTAGATTGTGGATATGACAAGGTTCATGTTATGCCAAAGTTAACTAAAAAATCTTTCTGGTGATGAAATGAAATAGGTGCACAAGTACATATTGTGAGCAGGATTCAGTGAGAGTTACAAAAATTCTGTCAAGCAGTTTCAAGCAGTAGTTGTTACAAAAGTTGGACAAAAAAAAAACAACCGAGGAATAGACTGATGGATAGCCCAATTACTATATATCTTCCACTTCAGGGGTATAATCAAACTACAAAGGAAAATATCCAAACAAATCAGCAATATATCTGAATTCCTCTTCCCAGCTAAATCTATTTATTTGAAAGGTCTGCCTTTAAGATGACGACTGTAATCCAAACTAGTTCTGATCTTTATAAATAAAATCAAACCTTTTCTCATTGGAAGATGTAAAAAGAATAAATAGATTACCTTAAGTGCTACACTGCCATCAATTTTCAACATCTCCCCAAGTGTTGCAGAAAATAGTGAAGACTTCCCTGCCCCTACATGGCCTACAACTGCTACTAATTGTCCATCAGGTATTGTAAGGTTTATGCTATAACAAAATAAGTGCTATTCAAATACAGTGAAACCTGTCAAAAATGAACACTTTAGGGATTGAAAATTATATCAGGAATACACAAATATACAATTTAATCGGTAAAATTACTTTTATAACTGAATATTCATTGTATGTCTTGATCAAGAGTTCAGTTTAAACAACTAATTTAGAAAAGTACTTGTATTTGAAAGATCTATTGATGAAACACATACTGGCCCACTACTTCACATCCTCTGTCTATTTGTTTCATTATGGAAACTTCAGAACAAAAGCAGCATTATTACACAGACCAAGGTGCATATTCACACCTTACAACTTATCACTGTCAAGTTGTTGACCAAACATGAATGCATTCTGTTTGGTAGTACATGAGTGTGCCAATAATATTTGTTGGACAATCAGATGAATGGATAGACATCACAAGGTGAATGCAATATAGCCCCATTCCTGGGATGGAGTATATTATGTACTCTTGGAAATCCTAGACCCACCCAATAAGAGCAGAACCAAATAATAGAGACAGACCCAATCATTTGAAAATGTATAATCTTTTTCCAAAAATATAAATTATGTCTTGAGGGTACTATATACTCCATTTATGATGAAACTTTGACATTGAGTTTATTCTGATTATACACAATGTACTAAAACCTACCAGTTTTAAAGGTTTATCTTACTTTTAGTACTTACTCTCTCAATGTTGACTGTGGATTTTCTTTATCCCAAGTAAATGTACCTCGCTGTATTTTAATGGCATGTTCTACAAGGGAAAGAAAATTCATCTTGTTTTAAAGGTTTCTATTGATTATAAAGCTCTGGTTACACATTATCAGCTTTCCCAATTTTTTATTTGAACATTCCTAATGGAGTATAATCCAGAAAAGTGGTTAATAAGTAGAAAATTCAGTACAAGGGACTTTTGGGACTTTTATTACCTACATAGATAAATGGTGAACTATTGTTAAATCTAGATCTACTATGCAACAAAGAACTCAAATTTTACCCTGCTTCCCCCTTTTTTTTTTATATATGTGGCCAAAGTTCATGTTTTACAATAAAAATCTTGAAAAATCAATCAAACGAAAATAAAAAATGGGAGGTAAACAATGTCATAAGATACTTAATATATTTTGAAAAGTTCATTGAAATCCAGTCATCAGTTTTAGAGGACTGTATCTCCTATACAAAGAATAATGGATGGCCAAAGAACAGATGGACAAAGAATGGATGGACAAACACAAAAAGATGACCAGACGAACACATAAATTTGAAATCACACAAATTTCTGTAAATTTTCTTTAAATGCAGAAAAGGAGAGATCAATAAGAAAAAATATGATACCAATCTTTCGATATATATGGTATTAACCCTAAATATAATTAATACCTGTATCAAAGACATGTTGTATACTGCTAGGATCTAAATCTTCACTGCACAGAAAATTACCAACTCGCTTCAAAGAAACTTTCCCCTAAATTTAACAGTATACTTGATTATTCAATTTAATTATAGTATTGATCAACAATGCATTTTAAATGAATAAAAGGAGATGTGGAAAAAAACATATGAATTTTTTACAACAAACTAAAAGTTTTAAATGAACCAATAGTGCAATGACAATTTAAAATGTTCCTGAAATTCTATGGAAAATTAATATTTATCCCAACTCATTTTTTTTTTCATGTATCATGCCTGTTTAGGGGTCTCCCTTGAATGAAATACAACTATAACCTAGAATGGGTTAGAGTGTTTAAAAAAAGACCTGTACTTGGCAATGAAATTTGAGCATGGTAAGAGTTGTCCTACTTTCATACACATTAAACAAAATAAATTATATTTAGTTTATGAAAAGAAATAAACAACAACTCATGTTATGATGACAGCAAAAATGAAGACATTATAACCTATTATGAAATAACTAATTTGAAAAGATACTCTACAGATTTGCAAAATATTTCAAGCAAAGATAAACATAAGTAGATTCATGCATGTGGAGACAGTGTTCAAATCAAAAGTAGGCATGAAAATATATAGAGCAAACATATAAATTTCTGGAAAATAAAATCTTTACAATGTCATATAAAACCATACCTAATTTGACTTATTTTGGTCGAACCCTAATTTTATTTCCTGTTTGTTATACATTTTTTTTACTAGACAATGACTTAATTGCCTCATAAGTCGAATTATTTAACATTATGTCAACTTAAAGTACAGACTCAACAAATAAACAAAATTATTAGATTTGTATGTTAATTACTTTTTCTTCCTTTTTTCATTTCCCCATTTATTTTTAATTAATGAGGTAAAAATGAACTAGAGGTAGACAGCAAGTTGCTTAGTAGTCATTAAATATCTGGTATGACAGGAAATAATGAAAGACTTTAAACTTGCCTGTATAATGGCAGATATAGACTGCGCTAACAAGATGACTGGCAGACGTAAAATGTTGAACAAGGCAAGAGAAACAAAAGCTTTGCTAGCACTAAGATATTTGTCATCACTGATGTTGACATACGTGGCAAAAGTTGCCAAAGCAACCTGCAAAATCAAAAAATTTGTAGAATGCAAAGCATTTATCAAGCATTCATTGATTTCAGAACTTATTTTACTACAAGTGACAATTTTATTTAATACTATTCTGCATAAGTATATAAGCATTCAGCATTTCAGAAGATTGTGGGGAATTTCATTGTTTGTACCCCAAAATGAAATTAATGTTATGTCATTGGTTGAATTCTCATTGTTGAGGACATTGTTAGGCAATGGCAATATTTTAGTCCATGCTTTTGAAAATATTTCCCAGAATTTGGTAGTTTCTGAAAGGGCGAATTGTAAACCAGGCAGAAACCTTTTGCTACTTTTAAAAGTGAAGATGAAAGCAAAATTTTAAAATTGCAATCTTTATGTCACAACTGCACAATATATGGTCATTCTTCTTATAAATGCCATTGAGTAGTTAAAAGGGTACAATTATAAAATGTTAGCTTTGCTTGTTTGAATTAACATGTATTATTATTTCCATATTACCTACCGCAAATGGTGCCAGTAACCAACCAAATGTTGCCACTCCCTGTAGATAGGCAACTTTCATTAAATTGTCAAGCTCCCTCCTTCTGATCACTGATACTTGATAAGTAAAAGAAGGTTCCCATGCATACATCTTCAATACCTACAATTCATACATTTAAATCATAGAACTAAACGGATAGTACACTTGGCTTATATAATAGTTCTTTGAGTAGCATTTATAAAGTCTAAAAATATATTCACCTTATCTTTTTAGCAAATATGCTTAAAATGCTTGTAAATCAACTTTTGTGTACCAGAAAATTAAACACCTTATAAAATCTAAAAATATCACTGTACTTCAAACTACAAAGTATTTTAAAATAATCAGAATTGGGTGAGTGCAGTCATTTTATCTTAATCTTATTACAAAAACATCACAATAATCCAAAGATTGATATGATCAAAAATAAACTAGTTTTATATTCACCATTTGTACATTTTATTATAATGAAAAAGTTATATCATTCAACATGTTCAATGTATAAATTTTCTGAATTTATTGAAATGAAAGAATGTATAAAATCTTGCTAAGAAGATGTAGAGAAAGCTATAAGACAGAAAGAGAGACACAAACCTTCATGCCATTGAGAATCTGATTCATCAATTTGATTCTCTCCCCTTTGAGAGCCAGAACATCAGCTGTTAGAGTCAGTTGTCTTGCAGCCACAAAGGAATTAAGCGGTATCAGTAGAAGCAATACACCTAACCCAGCAAGACAAGAAATTCCAAGTGTTCCCCAGAGGAGATACATGCCGATAGCTACTTGTACAGGGACAGACATTACGGTGGATAGATAGGTGAACATATCCTGAAGATGTTGACAATCCACTGACATTAGGCTGACTATCTGACCTAACATTGTCTCTTTTTTGGCATCACTATTCATTGTCAACGACTAAAATAACAAATTAGAAAAATGTAGGATACAATTAAAAGGAGATGTGGGGTAAATTTCAATTAGACAACAACCTGACAGTATAAAAAATCAAACATCTTGAGGTAAAAAAAAATAGTCTTCAGCAATGGAAGAGTCTATACAATACTGTAAATTCAGAAATTTTTGCAATTGTTGGAAAATGGACAGAAATGCAAGATTAGTTATTGCGATTTCAGAAAATGCTGCAAACAAATCATGCTTTCAAAATTACAAATTGCGAGTTTTTATTTTTGTGTAATAACAAAAACATTGCAGAAATTTCTGAATTTACAGTGTGTCAATCTCTCTAAATCACCCAAAGTCTAGAAAAGTTTTGAATCTGATTTGTATGCCATTATCTTTTTTCTAATGTATTCTGTATTTTTTATTCTTTTTATTGGATGTATGCAATCATACAACAGTGGTTAAAACAGGAACATTTAAGTTTTAACACATGTATGTTTTGAACAATACAAAAGTAAATTAGTCAGGTAGTATATCTTATAGTAAATTGTTGTTGACTAAATTCCAAAAGGGTGCAGTTTTGACAAAGACTTCAAATACAATCTTTTGTTGTTAACAGCTTCTTTTTACCTCTATTAACATAGAAAAGTGCTTGCACAACTAACTAGAACGATAAATATTTCAATGAAAAACAATTCACAGGCTACTTTTGCTATCATTTATGTTAAAAAAAATTATACACCATTGGTCTACCAGTAAGCATGTCTATAAACCTTATTGATTTTGTTTTACTTAGAATATATACTTTCTATTTTTGGTGAATCCTGTCATCCTTTTTGTGTATACATATTGCTAAATATGTAGACCCCTAAACCACCAAAGTAAGGGTACCTTTTTATATATTGCTGATATGAGGGAACATCTGACCCTCATTCCAACAGCCATTCCCAGCTTATAATTCTGATGATAAAACACAGATTGTATCATTCCACTGACAAATAATCCAATAGCAGGGAGATAACCCTTCCATGACGGCTTGTTTTCACGGTCATCTGCATAAGCTATCAAAAAACTATTGAAAAATTAATTTATTAGTTAAAAGAGAATACAGTACATTGTACAACTGCCTTAATGTGACTTGATCTTAAGTGTTGATGTCCACCTCTTGTAGTTCAAACAAAATTCTGACCCAATTGCAATTTGTTTTATCAAACCAAACTGTTCAACTGGTCAGAAATTTGAACCAATTGCTGTAGAAAACCACAGTCAAGTCAACAAAGTGCAAGGTGATAAAATAAAATATTCTTATGTAATAAATTTGAATTTCAATTACTACATACAGTAACAGCTTGAAAGCCTGATAATCAGTACATCATGTAGTTAAGGTAGTAAGGAGTCTTTAGACTATAGATATATCAAACTCTAGGGTAATATTGGCCCAAAAATCTGTTTTAAGTTTATATCTAGAACTATTGCTACAATTTTCAGATAAATATTTCAATACATATGCGATCAATTTCACAAGAAAAACTTACGAGAAAAAATACTCTTACGTCATGAACATTCAATAAAAGTTACACTCAATTTTTATCGTAAGATTTTTTGTAACAAGAGCTTCAGATTGGCATAAAATTTATTGTCAAAATACATGTCAGCTAGTGTTCCTAATAAACTGTGAACAACAATTAACTTTTATTAAAATCATTTTCTTTTTAAAAACAGTTTAAGCAATATAAAAAGTACTTACCTAATGAGTATAGGTCCAACAAATTGAAGAATATCAGATATAAATTTAAACCATAATGATAATAAATAAGTCCAACCAAAACTATTAAACAGGGCCTTGAACAATGATCCTTTATGTCTTGTTGATTTTTGGACATTAATTTTGGTTGGTAAAAGCTTCGTTTGAAGTAGTGGTGTTTTCTCAGTTGCTGAAGTAGATTGTTGAATATCATACACATGCTGAGTTCTCTCTCTGGCATTTCTAAATAAAACAATCAGAAGGATATACATAATATATTGATTAATTGGCACAAAAATCACAACTAGGGAAAAAAAGCAACAACTGGTTAACTTTTATGATAAAGATGAAAACAAATTTTATTTTATTAGTGTTAGCACTTTATTCACTCAAAGGTAAATCGTGTAATAGAGATATCCAGATTTTCTATTGGGGTTTCCAGTCAGCAGGTATAAACTTTAGACCTAGAAAAGCCAATATGAAAATATTCAAGTACTGTGTAGTAACTGTATGAATAATAGGAGATTTGGGGTATAAGTCAATAGCATCCAAATGAAACAAAAATTTAAAGGTCATCTAGAAGCCAACGTACCATCTACAACAATAGAAAGGTATCTATATAATATGTCAAGCTCTTAATAAACCTGAGCAAAATATATTCATTTAATATACATCATTAAAAATCTGCCACCAACATCAGATTCAAAAATAAATAAATGGAGAATGTGTCCCCATGGACACAGATGATGCCCCCGCTTGCATACAACATTATAAAGGGACATAACTCAAGAATGATAAAAGTGACGCTACCCAAATTTGTACTTGATCTGAGTTTTAAGGTAATAAGTATTGTGTATAGGTTTCATAATGTTTGGTTGGGGCAAACTTAAGTTACAGAACGGAAACTAAAATTTTTGCAATTTTTCAATTTATAAAGGGGCATAACTCGATAATGATTAAAGTGATGCTACCAAAATTCAACTTGATCTGTGTTTTGTTGCAAAAAGCATTGTGTATAAGTTTCATAACATTTGGTTGAGGCAACTTAAGTTAGAGAACATAAACTAAAAATTTTGCATTTTTTTCCATTTATAAAGGGGCATAACTCGAGAATAGTTAAAGTGACCCCACCAAAATTCAAATTTGATCTTTATTGTGTGGTAATAAGCATTGTGTATATGTTTCATAAAATTTGGTTGAGGTAAACTTAAGTTAGAGAACGGAAAATAAAAATTTTGCAATTTTTCCATTTATGAAGGGGCATAACTCTAGAACGGTTAGAGTGACACTACCAAAATTCAATCTTGATCTGTATTTTGTGATAATAAGCATTGTGTATAAGTTTCATAACATTTGGTTGAAGCAAACACCCAAACTTAAGTTAGAGAATGGAAACTAAAAATTTGGCAATTTTTCCATTTATAAAGGGGCATAACTCTAGAACAATTAAAGTGACGACACCAAAATTCAAACTTGATCTGTATTTTGTAGTAATAAGCATTGTGTATAAGTTTCATAACATTTGGTAGAGGCAAACTTAAGTTAGAGAACAGAAACTAAAAATTTGGCAATTTTTCCATTTATAAAGGGGCATAACTCTAGAACAGTTAAAGTGACAACACCAAAATTCAAACTTGATCTGTGTTTTGTAGTAATTAGCATTGTGTATAAGTTTCATAACATTTGGTTGAGGCAAACTTAAGTTAGAGAACGGAAACTAAAAATTTTGTAATTTTTCCATTTATAAAGGGGCATAACTCCAGAACAGTTAAAGTGACGACACCAAAATTCAAACTTGATATGTGTTTTGTGGTAATAAGCATTGGCTATAAGTTTCATAACATTTGGTTGAGGCAAACTCAAGTTAGAGAACGGAAACCAATTTTGGAATGTATGTACTACAGACAGACAAGGGTAAAACTTAATGCCCCCTCTGCTACAGCAGGGGCATAAAAATATAAATAAATACATTAAATATAACAAAAGACAACCACTGATGAGTTTCCTTACTTTAGACAGGCACTTGAACATGAGTCAAAGTTAAAACTTTTTTTTATCTAAACCTTTTTCATCTATATCAGTGGAACAACAAGAAGTTGCACAAGTTGTAGTAGTAAGCATTCCTCAACTTGTATTCAAAGTATCAGAAAACAGGAAGCAGGACTGGTGTCTGATACATTACAAGTCATCACTGTCAATCTTCTGATCAAATATGAAGTAGTTTTGTTCAATAGTACTGGAGAAATGTATGACAAAAATATTTATGTTCAATCTACATATTGACAAATTCAAAATATTGGGGAAAAGGAAGAAGGTGTCTGACAATGAACCATGAAAATGAGAACACAGTTACATAAACCCTGCCAGACAGACATGTACACCTTACAATCATTCCATACACCAAATATAAATGACCTATAGCTTATAGTATCTGATAAATTGACAAAGTTACAAAAAAATTATCATTGACCAATGAACCATGAAAATGAGGTGAAGGCCATATGAACCCTGTCAGACAGACATGTACACCTTACAATCGTTCCATACACCAAATATAGTTTGACTTTACACTAATAATATCTGAGAAATAGACCAAACCACAAAAACTTAACTTTTACTACTGAACCATGATAATGAGGTCAAGGTCAGATGACACCTACCAGTTGGAAATGTACACCTTACAATCATTCCATACACCAAATAAAGTAGAAATTTAGCTTTTATTATCTGAGATATGGACTTGACCCTCAAAACTTAACCTTGTTCACTGATCCATGAAATGAGGTCGTGGTCAAGTGAAAACTGTCTGACAGGCACAAGGACAAGGTAAGCACATATTAAATATAGTTATCCTATTATTCAAAATAATGGAGAAATTAACATTACAAAAAATTTAAACTTTTTTTCAAGAAGTCACTGAACCATGGAAATGAGGTCAAGGACAATGGACATATGACAGACGTAAACCTCATAACATGAGGCATCAATATACAAAGTATGAAACCTCCAGTTCTTCTACCTACTGAAATATTAAGCTTTTAGGTAATTAGTTAACACATCTGCAGCTGAATCACTATCCCAATGTCACGCTTTCTGCAACAGAAGTCGCAGGCCGGACAAAAATCAGTACAGAAAAAGCACTTAACTCTTAAAAAAACAAAACAAAAAATATTTCGAATTGTTTCAAAGTTCAAAATGCAATAATTGTTACATCAATTTCATTATTACAATCTTATCAATAAGTCTATTAAACCAAAACAAAAGATTAAAAGGACAATTCCTAAACTTGTTTGCTTTATAAGTAACATTACCATATATATCTTGGTGTGAACTGTTACTTTTATTATCAGCATACTTCCTACCTGCTCTGAGCTTTAGACAGTTCATATCTCCAGTTCCGATCAAATATTTTCACTACATTCAGACTTTGATCCCGAGACATCAAAGGCCATAAATCTTTTTCTACTAATGGCTTCTTATAAGCTTTTACAATAATCCTGTAAAAAAAAAGGACTCTTATGACATATTCTTTACTTGTCAAGCTGTTAACCAAATATGAAATCATTCTGTTAAATATTTCCTGAAAATGTGAAGAAATTTTTTTTCCAACATATTTTACAATTGAGGTATCAGCAAATAGGATGTAGGTGTCTAACAGATCTGAAAAGCACTCACACATTATATATCATCACTTTCTAGCTACTGACCTAATATGAAGTCTCTGTTCAGTGGTTTTTGAGAAAAAAGAGATGAAAGTATTTGTTAGCCAGATAGACAGATGAATAGAGGGACTAGGTCATTGCAAAATATAGCACTCATAAATCTAAGAACTTCTGTATCTACAGTTTAAGAAAGATTTTTAACCCCTATGCAGCTACTTCTATATTTGATATAGTGTTTTTATTTCATTAGTCACCATTTCATGTTTATACTTACAAGTTCATCCACCAAAAGTATAAAAGATTGAGTATAGAAGCTTTTTCTTCAGGACAAGGTTCCTGGAAAATAAAATTTTTAAAAAGTACTGTAAATTTTATCTATTTTTGTTGGTACTAATTTTTGTGGATTGAGGAAAAAATTGCATATTTAAATAAGTTTATTCTTGATTTTTCAGTTTTAATAAATTCTGCCTATAGGTTTCATACAACCAATTCATCTACTCACATTTAGAACCCATGTAAAAGTAGCCCTACTCTGACAATAATAGTGCCATTGATGTTGTTGTTTACTGAAACTACAAGTAAATGCATTAAAATGAATGAAACTTTTGCTGAATGAGAAATTTATTTAGACCATTTAAAATGTGACAAAGTAGCAATGTTTTATATATAGATAAGAAGATGTGGTATGAGTTCCAATGAGACAACTATCCATCCAAGTCACAATGTGTAAAAAGTAAACAATTATAGGTCAAAGTACGGCCTTCAACACGGAGCTTTGGCTCACACTGAACAGCAAGCTATTAAGAGTCCCAAAAAGACTAGTGTAAAACAATTCAAACAGGAAAATATACATTTAATAAGTGAAATTTGTCATAGATTATACATGTAGATCTAAAGGAAAAATAGTTTAATAACAGACCTTAACCAGAATTAATAGACATTGGCAATGGGTCTTTTGTGAATTTCACACACTGGGCCCACATGTCTTTTACAGGAAATACTGATTGACATACTTACTCTACCACTGTCTCCATCTTCGCTAACTATGTTCTGTTTTTCGGCAAATGAATGAAGGATGAGTTGTACAAACAGAATGGAATATATAATATAAAATAGTATACATCTAAATAGGTTCTCCTCATATGTCTGCAAAACAAATTCAAATCATAAATAACCTGTAAGCAAATACAAATTTTGTTATCATTTTTTCATCAAAATCACTAGCTTTTTCAAACAAAATTCCCTATAAAAAATTCTTTATGGATTCAAGAAGCTGTTGCACAAGTTTTGTAAAATTCAATGAATGTTTGACATAATTATTCTAGTTATAAAATTTCATACACAGACTGTACATAAATGTTAGACTGCAAAAAAAAAAAAAAATAAGTTCCATTGACCTACCACTAGTGGTTCCCCATAAACTGACCTAATCGATTACAAACAAATACATGTAAACTAAACAAAAGTTTCAAAGTCAATAGACCATGATTGAGGGGACAGGTCCAAGGAAATGAGATGTGCCAATGCTAATACAACTGCATACCAAATATCATCCACCTACCACTAGCTGTTTCCCATAAACTGACCTAATCACAAACTAATACATTGTTTATAAAGCAGCCGCGGGAAACAGCATAGTTATCTCTTGCTTTTTGAATCCTTCAAGTTGGGACAAAATCGGAAAAAATGAAAAAAAAAAAAAATTGAAAATTTTGTTCTATGTACTGCCTTTGATCTTAAAGAAGCTTTAGTCCAAGTTTAAAAAAATTCAATGAACTTAATGATGTCTAAAAAAAACCACAAACTGAACCTTAATGTTTAACAATACTACATAACAAAGGAATGTAGGATCATTATATCTTCTTTCACATATATGTTGCAGACAAGACAATAAGTTACAAGCTTTATGCAATTGATGCAAAAACAGTGTACAACCTGTAATTTTCTATAAATTAAACTTAAATAAATCAATGCATATTGCATGTTGTCATTGTTGGTCTAAAGAGAATTTTGTATTGATGGAAAATCTTTGGTTATCTCCACAAATGTATTTACAAACTCCCTTTGTCTCAGAGCAATTTAAAGCTTTTTAAAACATTTGATATAGACATTGTTCTATGGTTGAAGATTGTAGAGGTCAACATATACACTTAATCTCTGACCCTATATATACTTACATGATTTACAACTCTTGTGTAAAAATCAACAATATTACACACAACCTTAAGTAACCAGAAAACAAACAAAGAAGTAGATGTTATGTTCCCTCGTATTCTGTCTAACTGAGTATACACTGCAGCCAAACCCTACAAAACAAATAGTGAAGATATTAAGCAAAAAATTTTAAAAAAATGTTTAGTTTACATATATACCCTATATTTTTTGCCTCAAAATGACTACCTTAATATTGCATTGTCACATTTGGAAGTGAAAAGTGACAAAATTGTCTGTTGTTGTCATAAACTTGAGAAACTTGAGGTAAAAAATGTGAACAAATTTCTACCAATCTAGTATCTACCCAATTTTTCTAAAGGAGAAAACCCTTAAAACACACATATTCTTATTAGTTTGGCCTTATATTTTATAAAATTTCTGATTTGTCATATACTTTTGGGGTACATGTACTAACAATTAGAAAAAACAATTTCTATATTCCATATTGCATGTAGGGATATAATTTGTATATATTGCACAGAAAACAAAAAACCAGGGGAGATAACTATCACAATTTTCTTATAAATGTTACAGTAAAGAACTATAGAATGATATATTGGTTATAGCTTGTTATATAGCAAAACTGAATTCTTTTGTACACTGTCTTAATTAATTGATTTTTTTGCTTTTTAACATTTTTATTTGTGTCTGTTGACCCTTGCAATATTGCCCATCAAAAAATTTGTAAGGGTTCCGCGGTACAAATCCAAAATAGTATAAGAAAGTTATTAAAATTTTAAAAACTTTAACCACAGAGTGAATATGTTGTTTCCTGGCAGAAAATCTGAGTCCATTTAAAAGTAAAATATGGAAAAAATGGATTTATTTTTTTACAATATTTACTTCTAGATACTATCTTATGATCATAAACAAGCTTCTGTCTAAGTTTGGTACAAACCCAGGATAGTTTAAGAAAGTTATTAAAATTTTAAAAACTTTAACCACAGAGTGAATGTTATATTTCCCGGCAGAAAAACTAAGTCCATTTATAAGTAAAATACGGAAAAAAATGGAATTTTATTTTTACAAAATTTACTTCTGGATACTATCTTATGATCATAAACAAGCTTCTGTCCAAGTTTGGTAGAAATCCAGGATAGTTTAGGAAAGTTATTAAAATTTCAAAAACTTTAACCACAGAGTGAATATTTGTGGACGCCGCCGACGACAACGCCGACGGAATGTAGGATCGCTATGTCTCGCTTTTTCGACTTAAGTCGAAGGCTCGACAAAAATGGAAATTAATAGAAAAAACAAAAAAATGTAAGAAGCAAGTATAGCAAGGAAATATTTGGATAACTAGGGACAGATGAATTTGGTCTAATCATATAGCAGTATTACCTAAAACTATACTGATTTTATTGTATTGTGTGCACGATTCATTTAGCAAATTACACTCTCCATACAAATAAAACTATTAAATTGTAAAATGATATTGTTTACATCTGACACTATGGTATAAACAGGATAAAAGCATTTAAGGTATGTACTTCTAAATGACCAACAACTAGTATTTGTTATATAAATAGATTGATAATAGATAAATCCTGACCAAGCATACAAATTTTACAAGATAGTTAACATGTATCTTCTCATTAATAACATTTCCCTGTTTTCTGTATTAAATTTAGTCCAATGGTCTGCAGAAAAATCTTCTTGGCGTTTTTAAAATTCTTACCTTTTTCTTTAATTATTAACAGATTGTTACTACTGTTTTTGGTCAAGACAACATAATTACATTGATCCTCCCTACTGTCCCATCATTTTTCATTTGTAACAATTCATCAATTTAACATTTCCCCCATTCTAAAATAAATAATGTTCACCTTGGAAACTTGAATGAAATGAAAAGTCCACCCCCTTCCCACCCCCTAAAAAGACAACTAGATGTTGACATATAGACAGGTATTAATAGTCAATATGTCTAAATCATCCCTGTCTAAAAAGTGTATAATTTAACTGAGACTATCATAAATCTCAGATCACTGATGGATTCTCAAAATTACACAAAATATTTAAATTATGACTAAAGATAACTACTAATGAGGTTCCTTACAGGTAATTCTTAAAAAATAAACAGAAAAATTAAACAAATAAATGGAGAATGTGTCCCCATGGACACAGATGATGCCCCGCTTGCATACAACATTATAAAGGGACATAACATAAGAACAATAAAAGTGACGCTACCCAAATTTGTACTTGATCTTAGTTTTGTGGTAATAAGTATTGTGTAAAGGTTTCATGTTTGGTTGGGGCAAACTTAAGTTACAGAACGGAAACTAAAAATTTTGCAATTTTTCGATTTATAAAGGGGCATAACTCAATAATGGTTTAAGTGACACTACCCAAATTCAAATTGATCTGTGTTTTATCAGTGGAAGGCAAAATTAAACATTGCATTGTATAAAGCATTGATTGTAGTTGATTCAACTATAATCATGGACAAAGGAAGATAACTCCAATTTTAAAAATTACTTGAACAATTGATATTTTTAGAAAAGTATGAAAAATTTAGCAATTTTGCCATTTGTAAAGGGGTATAACTCTAGAACAGTAAAAGTGACGCCACCAAAATTCAAACTTGATCTGTGTATTGTGGTAATAAGCATTGTGTATCAGTTTCATAACATTTGGTTGAGGCAAACTTAAGTTAGAGAACGGAAACTAATTTTGGGACGTACGGACGTACGGACGTACGTACGGACAGACGGACAAGGGTAAAACTTAATGCCCCCTCTGCTTCGGCGGGGGCACAAAATAAGAATAAACAATTGAAATATGTATGTAACAGAACATCTATTTATACATACACATAATATAAATTAATAGGTGAATACTACAGTCATGATATAACATACCAAATTTATATGATTAATTAAATAAATGTAAATTGACTCACATAAGAAACAGCATTGATCAAGCCAGAAACAATGACAACATTAGGTGCAGTATAACTGAGCTTTTCTTCTGAAACTTCTCTAACGGTATCAATTATAGTCATAACAACCAATATTAAATCTAAAATCTAGAAAAAAGGACATAATTATATGCAAAATATAGAAACAAAATTCTTTGAGAACACTAAAAACTTTGTGTACAAATAATCTACATTTCCTTTTCACGCTATTGTAGAGCAGTGGAATATAATTACTGAATTATTTGGGTTAGGCGTATATATATATATAGCATTAACAATAAATATTATAAACTGTTAACATCTTAGATATGTGTTGTCTGTGTAACATTAACACAAACCTTTACAATTGTTTGATGCCAGAGATGTCTGAAACAGCATGCCTTTGTCTTGCTTCTGAGACTTTAAGAAAAATATATGGCGAAAATACAGTAACTTAAATCACTAAATGCATTGTACATAATAAATAATCTTGAAAAATCTGAGTATAGTCTACAGCAAGTCTGATGAATATGATGCATAAGGAGCTATATCCCCTTCCCTTATTTTGCAAAATGTCTATGAATCATATACTGCATATGTTTAACGCTGATGTATATGTCTATATATATATATATATATATATATAGCATAATATGTGGGGGCCTCGGTGGCCGAGTGGTCTAAGTAGTTACTACTGTAATCACTAGCCAGTCAACACTGAGGTTGTGAGTTCGAACCCCCCTCGTGCGGGTGCACTCAACTCCAATCTTAATTGACTAGGATTGTCAGTTTTCCTATCGAAGGTCGGTGGTTTTCTTCTGGCATTCCGGCTTCCTCCACCAATAAAAACTGGCCGCCATGAAATAGCCCAAAAGCGGTGCTTAAAAGTGGCGTTAAAACACCAAAAATCAAAAATCAAATCATAATATGTGAATTTTCTATGTGAGAAATAAAATATAGAAGAAATTCAAATTTGAAGCAAAGAAAAAACTGATTTCATATACTTTTCTTAACTTATTATGTAAACAAGACTCGATGATTTAAATCTCAAGTTTATTAAAAAAAATATTAGACTTTCCCCCTAAAATATAAGATTAACACAGCACACATTTTTGCTCTAAGTACACACTATTATAGAACTTCTCAGTGTAAACTTACCAATTTTGACATATTAAATGCTGTTACAGGCAATCTTTGATTTTTGGCTGTTCTGACAAGATAAATATTTACAGGTAAAGTTAACCAAAGCCAGCCACATGGTAACCATACTAAAACTGTGTTCCTGAAGCATTTAGTGAAGTTTGGATATGTGCTGTTGTCAGAAAAACCTGTGTCATCCTGTGAAAATAAGAAAAACACAGATTTGTCAAGAAACATTTACCTCGTTTTAGTTAAACTAATAAATTAATAGAATTACAGTTTTACAATTAGATGATGCATGGAGTTCTTTTTATGTACTTACAAAACTTTTATGTGATTTAGTAATGTAATATTGTACTGAATAACCCTGGTCAATAAGTCACATATCATATAAAAATAAGGAGATGATAGTATGATTGCCAATTAGATCATTATTCACAAGAGTCCTAGTGCATACTTAATAGCTATAGTTCCAGTTTACACTTGGAAAAAAAAACTTTCCAAGGGAAATAACTCCTATAAAGAGCCAGTTGACAGTACCAGTATGGCGTACCATTTTGCTGTTTACAGTTTCTTTCTGTTCTACTTTTCAACATAATAGGCATACATGTTACAATTGGGTAAAAAAATACTATATAGGGAAATAACTCCTATAAACTATATACATGTATATGAAAATAAGGAGATGTAGTATGATGAGACTATCTATCCACCAATGTTCAAATAGTGTGGATGTAAGCAATTATAGGCAACCGTATGACCTTCAAAAATGAAAAAAACCCATACCGTATAGTCGGCTATAAAAGGCCCCGACATGAAAAATATGTAACTATTCAGTTGAGAAAATTAAAAGCCTAATTTATAACAAAACAATTTACAGGAAAAAAAATATGACAGACATGAACCAACAACAACATATATGGTTTCAGTTATATTGGTTATTTTGTAAATCTTGTATTGCTGATCATGTTTACCATTTTTCGGTTTCAGATAATAGAGAACAATGCTAAAATATTATCATTAAGGGGCAATAACTCATATTGCAGTCATCTGATAAAATAAGTAGAAATATATGATATGTAGAGCTTGTCATTCTGACCATATATTCCCTAGACGATTTCCTCTATTAAGATTTTCAAGAGATAAGACAAATACTGTCTTTATAATGTTATGTTCTATTTCTAGTTGTGGCAGCCATATATGCTGGTTGGCGGGGACAGCAAACACAAACTTTACACTTAATCCCATAAGGATCATTCAGGTCAAGTTAGGTTGAAAATGGTAATCGGATTTCAAAGGATATTATCTAATGACAAGTGACAAATTGAAGATATAGACACCCATGGAAAAAGGTGTACCCAAATTGGCTATTTGTTTGAGAATTTAAACTAGGCCAAAAAAAAAAAATTTAGAAAATTACTATTCTCACAATGTTAGACCACTATATTTACAGGTATTTTCTTCAGGTAAAATAATAATTCAAATATTTAAACCTATCCATCTTTTGATAGGATAGAAACAATGGAAGTCAAGGTCCTATTATCATGGTCATTCAATACCTGTTGACACCTGTAATTTTACAAAATAATTTGCCCCAATTTATGAAAGTTGCATTAAAATCTCATTTACCCTATCGCATCAAGCCTAGCTGTTCATTAACATGTTCAGCTAGCAACTTAAATGCCAGTTTAATAAGTACTTGTAGCTGTCTGTGTGACATCAATCATATGTTTCAGAAAAAACAAGTTGCTTTCTTTAAAAAAGGAAAAGCAGTACATGAACCCGAGACCGCTGACTGGTCACCAAAAAATTGTTTCTGGATTTTATTTGCTTTCGATTTGAAATAATTTACTGTTAATAGAATAAGGTATCGTAATGATGATGTTAAAAGACCTTCATTGAAAATATGTAATTGTGTGTAGATTCTTGCACAAGTCAATTGAAAGCAATGTTGGATTTTTGTTGGAATAGAAAAGTGTATATATACAGCTACTATTTGAATTTACCTTTAAAGGCTTGATTATTTCATTTATTACTTGGGAGTGTACATCATTTTTTCTTAATCCTATTGCAAATCACAATTTCTGCAAACCCAATATCTAATTCAAATTGCACAAACCAATCACAATATAAATTTAAGCACTCAGTTTGCTTTATAATCTGGATGAATTTATTCAATTTTTCATATCATCATATTTTGTTTCCTGGATGCCTTCAATTATTCGTTTACTTGTTATTGAAATTGTCTGTACTCATGGTAGTTGTTGTTTAGATAAATTTTAAAGTCCAATTTCAATTTCAATGTAAAGTGAAACCCTGTGGTATGCAACTTATAAGAAGGTTTCGTTTTCTTGAGAGTAACACAGAGGCTTCATTCGGGACCTCTTATATACTGCAAATTATTTTGGTCTCATAAAACATCTCAAATTTTAAGGATTTCCTGAAGTTACTTAAATCAATCCAAATATTCCACAGGAAAACTTGGTTTTGAAGAATATCTTATTTTCATATTAAGTTTTATGAATACCTGAACATACTCTCAGAAGAACCAATTTATATAAAAAGATATGTAGATATATGATGATACCAGCATTTAAATGTTGTACGCCAGACGCAAATTTAGTCTACAAAAGACTCATCAGTGACACTCAAATAAAAAAAGTTAAAAAGACCAAATAAAGTATAAAGCTGAAAGGCATTGAAGACCCAAAATTTCGAAACAAAGGTTTTACCGAATACATCTAAGGTAATCTATTCCTGGGGTAGAAAATCCTTACTATTTCTAAAATTTCAAAGTTTACAATAGGACAGTCACTCAAAAAAGAAAAAGAAAAGAGAAAAAACAAGAGGTCAGAATACCTTAAGTAATGATAACCATGCTTGAAAGTCACATATCAAGCTCTTACTGCCGTGTCCTGAATTTAGATAAGAAATGCGAAAATTCACATTCACAAGTGAAATTAATATTTATGCAGGCACATGGTTTTCTTTGTTTAATAGTTGAATTCCAAGGGTGGTATATAATGTTAATGAACCAAGATGTATGTAGGATAGCTAGTCAATACAATGAATATACAATTTTCAAAATCGTACCATGCATAATACAAAGATTTAGATCGATAAGGTTGAACTATTAATAACAACAAAAAATATTGAAATTTTATTAACATACATTCCTGATAATGAATCTTTTCCGAAATTTAAAATATAATATCAATGAACACAAACGTCATGTATTTTCTGATGGACATTTTATTTATCAAATCAATCTCTTCTTAAAGTCTTACTTTCCATTGATATACAAAATATAAGCAGAAACTTATAAAACCATACTAAAACGGTATAAAATAATTAATGTAGTGATTAAATTTTTTTATGATTATTGCAAAATATTAATTACGTTTTTTGTGAGATGCAAGGATTTAAATATTTTGTGAATTGAAACTATGAAAGTCAATTTTCATTCACTACCATTTAAAATTTAGATACTAACTTATGTGTATGCATCTCTGCTCATTGGTGCTCATAATGTTGCATATCATTTTCATAAATGTATTCACTGTTCAAACCTCTTTGACCTAATACATGTATAACAATTTCAACTACACATATATTCTATTTTAAAAGGATAAATTTACAAAAATCATTTTGTTTAAGTATCTTTCTGCTTTCCGACCACTGTGTTTCCAATCTAAGATAAATATTTATTAATTTTCTTCATGCTTTCCAACATTTACCCAGGCTATGATTGAAATACAAAATATCATGTAGCAAACGTTCAAAAATATTCAGTTTATTCTGGGACATTATATATTAATGAACTATTTCCAGGTTTATTGTCAAAATGCACAATAGCACATTGTACATAACCTCGATAAGTTAAAAAAATCTGACAAAGACCTTTCACAAAACTATTTATAGACACATATACACACACAAAAACAAGCACTCGAGATGTAAAGCAAATAAAATGCTCCGCTGGGGCGCAGCTTGATACGACCGCAGAGGTCGAACCCTGAACAGTTGGGGCAAGTATGGACACAACATTCAAGCTTGATACAGCACTGAATTTGGATTGTAATTAAATATTTGACACAGCATAGGTTTCTGACACAGAATGAATGTGGTCTAAGAACTTGAAAATTTTTAATTTACCTATTCAAACCATATCATTATTATTTGCTTTTATATATAAATCAGAAATAACCAATTTAAAATGGGAAATTTTAAAGAAAAAAAGGAAAAAAAAATCCTCCCCCCCTAAATTTTTTGAACCCCCTTATGATTCATCACCCCCAAACTCAATCCCAGCCTTCCCTTTGTGGTATGGTACCTCACAGTACAATTTCAGAGAGATCCATACACTTGAACACAAGTTATTATCTGGAAACTAGAAAAATGCTTGTTTTTTGGCCCCTTTTTGGCCCCAAATTCCTCAACGTTTAGGGCAATTACCCCAAAACTCAAACCAAGCTTTCCCTTTGTGATATGGAACCTTGCAGCACAATTTCATAAAGATCCATACACATACACACAAGTTATTGTCCTGAAACTAGAAAAATGCTTGTTTTTTTGCCCTTTTATGGCCCCTAATTCCTAAAATTTTGAGGGAATTACCCCCAAAATCAATCCCAGCCTTCCCTTTGAGGTATGGTACCTTGCAGTACAATTTCAGAGAGATCCATACACTTGAACACAAGTTATTGTCTGGAAACTTGAAAAATGCTTATTTTTGGCCCCTTTTTGGCCCCTTATTCGTAAACATTTTGGGCAATTACCTCCAAACTCAATTCCAGCGTTCCCTTTGTGATATGGAACCTTGTAGTACAATTTCATAAAGATCCATACACTTACACACAAGTTATTGTCATGAAACTAGAAAAATGCTTGTTTTTTGCCCCTTTTTGGCCCTTAATTCCTAAAATTTGGAGGCAATTACCCCCAAAATCAATCCCAGCATTCCCTTTGTGATATGAAACGTTGTGGTACAATGTCAGAGAGATCCATACACTAACACACAAGTTATGTCTGGAAGTTACAAAAATGCTTATTTTTGGCCCCTTTTTGGCCCCTAATTCCTTAACTGTTGGTACCATAACCCCCAAAATCAATTCCCAACTTCCTTTTGTGGTATTGAACCTTATGGTAAAATTTCATAGAGATCCATTCACTTAAACTAAAGTTAGAGTGCGAAAACCAATGTGTCTTCGGACGACGACAACGACGACGACGACAACGCCAACATCATACCAATATACGACCACAAAATTTTTTTGCGGTCGTATAAAAATTACAACAGCTGATAAGGTTCCTGAATTGGTTGCAAATTGATTTGCATCTTTAGGAAAAAATAATAGTAAAATGTTCATTTATTTGTACATGTAAATGAATTTTTATTTACATAAAAAACCAGGTCTGTTACATGTTAACATCAGATGACTTAAAGGTAGGGTAGTACATTTTTTTAAAAATTATATAAGTTAGCTGTTTTGTATCAAGCATAAATTAAAAAAGAATTTGTATTAATAGTCTAATTTTTACACAATACTGAACATTCACATGGCCGTTTTTTAAGAAAACCATCAGACAAGAACATCACATCAGAACATGTGACGGTCTCATCTTTTTCAAACAGTTCTTTTTTTTATGTAACATATTCTATTTAATTTTGTATAATAAAATGTCAAGATTTTAAAAGTTACATAAAATGCAAATTTGAGTTTTATAACATATCTGAATTTAGGACACTTGAAGGTCATTTTAACAAGTAAAATACATTGAACTGCTATCATGCACTTCAGATTACCTGATAATGGTAAGCAGATGCAATAGGCAACAATTATCAAAATCTGTTGTACACAATGGCAAAATCCAATGTATTGTAATGGCAATTGAAATGCACACAAAAATCTGTTGTACACAATGAGAAAATTCACTGTATTGTAATGGCCATAGGAAATGCACACAAAAATCAGCTGTACACAATGGCAAAATCCATTGTATTGTAATGGCAATAGGAAACCCAAACAAAAATCTGTTGTACAATATACACAAAACAATTAATTTTGATAGCAATTTGGAACACATAATCTATTGTATCTACTGGTCAATATTGTTATAATCAACGAAAGCATTAAAGGACATTATATATAAAAAGAAGATGTGGTATGATTGCCATGCAATGAGACAACTCTCCACAAGAGACCAAATGACACAGAAATTAACAACTATAGGTCACCGTACGGCCTTCAACAATGATCAAAGCCCATACCGCAACGTCAGCTATGTTCATCATTAGTGTCAACTAATTTATAAGTGTTTATGATTTATTCATTCAAGTATATATGGAGCTGTTTATTGTTTTTTTCTTAATTTATCATAACACTGGCATCATAGTATGTATTCAAATGGTATGCAAACAAAAAGTTCTAGACATCGTATGTGTCATATTGAAGTTTCGTGTGACTATTGTATTCTCTAATTTAAGCAAAGATGGATAATTTGTGATTTTTATTTTAATTTTTAGCATGAATCAATAGTAATCAATCATATATTTCAGCAGAGAAATTACCATGATTACTATATATGCATTAAATTAACTTTCATTTTTATCCTGATGCATAGTTGTAAATAATCTAAAAGGTCAGTTGGGTATCTTAAACAATTGCATTTTATTCTTTTTGCATAAGAACTTGTATCATTAGCAACAATAACTGAAATCTGATTCTTTGAATATCTTTAAGTGCAGCTGAGGTTTAGTCTCAGAGTGCAGTCAACTTCATAAAAGATAATACATATGACAAGAACCTAGTCCTATTTACACTCGACTTCACATTCTCATTGATTCTTATTCAATTTTAATGTGTGTATTCTGATGTTTTCATCTTTCATTTTTTTGGAATGCAACACATTGACAGTAAAAACATCAAATCGAAAATAACAAATAACAAAATGAGTAAAAAGAAAATATCAGTAAACAAACAGAAAAAGAAAATATTGCCCCAGGTCACATGTTAAAGGACTATATTCATAAGTACCACAGGCACTTGTCTCTGAATTTTTTTTTCCCCTATATATACATGTACCTTAACATATTAAGGTATATAGGTACCAACAAAAAAATCAGAGACAAGTGCCTGTGATAAGCATCCAGAATTTTAGTTGCTTACCAAAATTTGTTGCAATTAATCTAATTAATATTGCACTCTGCATGCATGGGACCCTAGTTGGAACAGTAAATTTACAGCCAATTACAGAAGTTATAACCAATAAAATCAAAACTTTAATAGAATAGTCGTTCAAATATCTTCTTTCATTTATATTTCAAACCTGGGAACAGTATATCTATCTATCAATATATATGTTCCTGTTCAAACTGATGACAAATGTGTACAGTGCTTACATTTAAATAAAGATAGATTTATATACAAGATAAGATTTAGTGTCAGCAAATAATATGTTTTTTCCAAATAAAAAAAAAGATATGATAAGAATATTATTTTACCCAGAATGAAGAATTACCGCAAAATTCCTCAAAGTTTGACATCTCTCTTTCGTCGGTATACTTTCACTTTCAGTTTGACTCCGCAGTTTTTTCATGCATTTTTTTTTTATCCTCTTTCACCTGTATATTAATCTGATGAACTTATACTTTCTTTCTGTATCGACTTTCTTGTGGTATATATAAATAATAAGTTCTTGTCACGCTTGGTTAACATGTATAAATTTGTAAAAACTATCACAGGTTAAAAACTATCACGTGTGCCATTTTTTGTGTTTTTATTTTTTTTGGCCAACCACATGGGTTACCTCCCCTTAATTACTTAAGTTTAAAACGGCGGGAAATATCATTGATACAATTTTTACCATACATGAGGTTCGGTTCTAGATGCCTACTAGTAATGCCAGGAAGATTAAAATTATTTAGTATGATTATTTTATCAAACTAGAGATGCGTTTGTCTTTTTTGTGGGGGAAATGTGTGAGTTTTCCAAAGGACACCTGTGTCAACTACCCTCTCAAATCATGAAATATATTTAAAAATGGCAATGGCAATTCTTTTGTTGTCGTGCATGTATGTATAGAACCTCCCCGTAATAAATAAGATTAAAAGTAAATGAGCAGGTGCACAACTTCATGTCCCATCTATCATTGCAAGTTTCTGGGAATTCCATCAATTCATTTTCGAGAAGTTGCAACCATAGATAGCCATATCTATGGCTATTATATCTATGTTGCAACCATCTGTATTCATAGGCCAAGCCACGGTTAGAGGGTCTAGTTTACAGATGAATGAAGCGTTTTTTGTATACGTTAACAAAATAGGCGATTAAAAAAAAAATCATCGTTTGTAATTCATCACACACACACACACACACACCCAGAATAGCACATATTATTTTTCTTTAAATCTACATCAATATATATTCATCGGACAGGCGATTGCAAAAACAGCATTTTTAATTGCGTACTGGACATGAACTACACTGCATTTACCCTTTTATTCCTGCTTCCTTCTGTCTGTCACACAAAGAGGTGGAAGATGAATTACATTTTTCATAATATGTACAGAACTTAATAAACCTAGGATAAAAATGTTTAATGGAATTTCTAATATTGTCCCCTGTTTTAATTCAATGAGTAATGAAAACAAATTTGATTTCATTTTCTTGTGAAGAATATGATATATTGATAATCATTGTTAACAGTATACGGGAAATGTATAATGAGAGAAACAACTATAATTTCAACATGTGAATAGTGAATGATTCATGACTTGTATTATAATGTAATATATTATCAAGATATTTGAAATGATAGCTTTATAGAGGAGGCATGTTGTCAAAAATAGTATTGAAATAAATATGAATTATTTTTACTTTTTTTTCAATGCTACATGTTTGTATTGTCTTCTTCTATCGTTTTGTTATTTATATGTTGTTGGATTTTTTTATTATTAAGTAACAATCCTATTGTTTGTATTTTAGACTAACAAAATTCTTATTTTTGTTCTTATTCTGATTTACAACCGTATAAAAGCAACAAAACAACAACTTCATTTCATTTTTGTTTTCTTACAAAAGGACGAGCTAGAAATGAAAAGTGAGATTTGTTAAAGTATAAAGTTGTGGTTTCAAACTCTTTCACTCCAAAAGTTTGGTTGGAGTTCGTTGATTGATTGGTTGATTTTTCAAAAAAAAAAAAATAGTTCGGGATAATCAAATAAGAATACAGCTTAGAATTTGGAACTATTTTCAAACTGGGTACACAAACAAATAATTATGATTAATTTCATTAAATTTCTTCACATTTGCCTAGGTGCCTTTTTGGCATGAACGATCAGATAATTGTTACATAAAGAAGCATGATTTTACCTCATTTTTTTAATATAAAATGTAGAAAAACTGATATATATATTCTTAATGAAGCTGCTGTTCTATGTGGGGTATAATTTTCTTGTTAAAGAAATAATTTCTCTCTCTCCCATCCCTCTCTCCTCCGATCATAACATTACAACATGCAATCTAATTAAAATTAAGATCTATCTTAACTCGGGTGCTCATACATATAAGCATACGAGGATAACGAAAACACATCTCTATATTTAGATTAGATTGTACAACATGCTAGATAAGAGGCAAACACTGTTTGTTCAATTCTGAGGTGCCATTTTGGAAATTAGAGATAGCTTCCTGGCTAAAGTCGAAATGTAAAGGTGAAAACAGTCTTTCTTTTGAAGAAGTTTATGAAATGAATCATGATTATTTGTTTGCAGCCAGTTTGAAAATAGCTCAAAAACCCTAAGCTATATTAGTATTTGTCAATTCCGAACGAAGACCGTTTTGGAAAATCAATTACAGTCTGGTTTATATGGTTTGGTCATTGGCTATCATATTCGAGATATGCTTGATCTCAATTTATTCATACCCCAGGCAACAAACTCAAAAAGACTTTTAGAGTAGGAACAATTTGAAACCTCAACTTAAATCAGTTTGCTCAAACGTTTTTTTTTTATACGAATATTGATTTTAAGAAAAATAATTTTTTGCTAAGTTGCTGCCAAAAACGCTCTACACCTCTGTCAGCTAGGCCCTCTAAATTCGCTTATGACTACAGATTGGCTCGACTCCTTGAAAACAAAATGACGGAATTCCCAGAAACGTGCAATGATTCTTCTTTAGTTGGGACATGACGTTGTGCACCTGCTACTTCAACTTTTAATCTGATTTGAATCTGCTTTTATTTTTGAGGGGGAGGGGTTTCACGAACCGAAACAAAAGAATTCACTTTGTCATTTATAACTATATGTTTTAGAGAGGGAAGTCGACACACAAGCCTTTGGAAAACTCACACATTTTCCTAAAAAAATTAACATGCGAATCTAAAAGAATCATGAATAGATAATACTCATCTTCCTGTTATTATAAGTCTTTGGACAATTGCTAACTATCCTTGCAAACCATAAACCGATAGTAATTTATGATAGTTTTCAATGCCAATTGGCAAACATCGAGGAATTTATCAAACCTCAATTTGTTTTATTTCATTAACCATAAGTTTTAAATAAATAGAGAGTTATCTGCTCAACTCCAAAGAAAATCACTCAGTGTCTGTAAATCTTTTCAGATCTTTAGAATTATTCTAAGGACTCAAACGCATATTCATTTATGAACTGTTTCGAAGTGACGTGTAATTTCTGCATTTAACACACATAAAAGGTGCCTTTAAATTTCATCGTAATTTCCAGGGTTAACTTGTGTATTTTAAATAAGGTTAAGTATGGTTTCCGCTTTAAATACAAAAAGGAAGATGTGGTATGTTTGCTAATTAGATAACTCTACACTAGAGACCAAGTGACGTAGAAGTTAACAGCTATATGTCACCGTACGGCCTTCAACAATGAGCAAAACCCATACCGCATAGTAAGCTCTAAAGGGCCCCGAAATGACAATGTAAAACAACTCATACGAGAAAACTAACCACCTGTTGATTTCATCGCGTTGTCATTTATTATAATTATTGCTTTCGTTTCCTTATTTATATTTAAGTTTGATAAAAATGTAGAGCCTTAATTACTATAAATAGAAATTCATTATCTTATCCCTAACTGTATCTATCATCACTCAGTCTCTATAAAAGACATTCGTTATTTTATTTCTGACCCTGCATTAGTATTTCACCACTGCTATTGCATATTCATAATCATTGCATCACGCTTATATATTGGTGAGTTTTGGAAGTGTCTAGTGGCCACTCTATATCCTCGGAATCAAGATTCTCGGAACGTCTCGAAAATTTTCGATCATTTATACAGGTAGCTATTTATGTCTTTGATACGGTCCCTCTATGGATAGGCTACCACGTGACATTGTATATTTCAACAATCAAAGTTCATTTGTAGATTGGAAAGTAAAACAATAAAGACTAGGTTGCAGTCAAAAAATCATTTATACGTTAGAACCTATTTGCCTTTTGACAAAACAAATGTGTTTTTAATAATGTGAATGTTTATTAAATATCAAGTAAAATGATAACGCAATTATATAATTCATGCTTTGAGACGGCCCCTGAACGTGTTGTGTGTGTAGCATTAAATACAGCGTGCTGTTGTGCATTGTGACAAACATGGGAATAGTTTATTGATATATTATGTCCTAGAATTAACTGATTATTTCTGAACGTTTATCATTTGATGTTTTGTATTTCAATCATAGCATGGGAAAATGTCGGAAAGCATGAAGAAAATTAAGAAAACGATATTTCTTTTTAAAAGACTTATCTTAGGTCGTAAACACAGTGATCGGAAAGCAGAAAGATAATCAAACAAAAGGATTTTTCTATCAAACATATTGAATTTCATTTATAGATACTACCAGACTAAGAGACTATTCATTATTAAGTTTAAACTGAGACTAAATTTATTCTTAATAGAATATAATTAAAATTGTCATATATACGTGCATTATGTCTCACAGTCATTACATTTATGAAAATTATATGCAACGTATGAGCACCAATGAGCAGGTATGCGTACCCAAAGTTCGATAAATATCTAAATTTAAACGGTCGTGAATGAAAAAATACTTGCATGGTTTCAATTCACAAGGACTTTAAATCCTTGCATGTCACAAAAAACGTAATTAATATTTTACAATAATCATAACAAAATTTAATTACTATCATAATGTTAATTATTTTATACTGTTTTACGACAAAAGAGATGATTTCAGCTTCTCAATTGTGAACTTTCCATTTCTATGTAGCAACATTCCAGCAGCGCCTGCATACGGAATATATATCTCTCAATTGATACGATATTCCCGGGCTTGTATTTCCTTTCATGATTTCCTTGATAGAGGATTGCTGCTCACAAGGAAGCTATTAAACCAAGAGTTCCAAATGGTGAAGTTGAAATCATCCCTTCGTTAATTTTACGGACGCCATCACGAGTTGGTTGACCGTTATAGAAAAACCGTTTCACAGATGATATCGGATATGTTCCTTATGTTGTAACTACAATACCCTTCCCTTTTCACGAATGTGACCTACCGAATTAGACTATTTACCGGATTTGTAATAATATAAGCAACACGACGGGTGCCACATGTGGAGCAGGATCTGCTTACCCTTCCGGAGCACCCGAGATCACCCCCAGTTTTTGGTGGGGTTCGTGTTGCTTAGTCTTTAGTTTTCTATGTTGTTTCATCTGTACTATTATTTGTCTATTTGTCTTTTTATTTTTGGCCATGGCGTTGTCAGTTTGTTTTCGATCTATGAGTTTG